AAAAAAAAAAAAAAAAAAAATAAGCTTCAGGTACTCCTCAGTGCCCAGGCAGCAGCACCTTGTTGAAGGACTGTTTAAAACATGGAAAGGTTCCGTCACATGAACCAGCAACAACTTATTAAAGTAGCGAAGGGTCCTCGGAAACATGGGTGCTTCCCATTTTCTTCAAAGCAGCACGGGGCTGGACACATGAAGCTCACATACTGGGTAGATAAGACGGGATTTTTTAAGTAGAAGCACCGTGAAACTGAACCGGTGTCCTCAAGGGTTAATCTAAAGTTTTGAAATGAATCAAAATATTCATGAAGTATTCGTGATAAGATCGTTCCACGGCTTTGCTCGGCGGTACACGGCCCTTTCGGGCACAGACTAAAGGCTGTTGTCGTACCACAAATCCTATAAGTGATCTTCAACCTGGGAAATCATACTGTTACGACACGTCGTCTCAGTGGACTATTCTTTACCATCTGAAGAAATATGAAAGGAAATGAATCGGATCTTTCTACATTTGTATTGACTCATGGGGTTATACTGGTTGGAGATGAATAGAATGGGGAAGGTTAGGTTAGCTGTGGATTTGAGTATGAGCCTTTTTTGATTCTGTCTCCCCTCCCCCCCAATGGACTTCTGGCTCTCCCTATGCTTTTGGGGGACTGGACTGCTTTACACTTCACTGGGTCTTGCCACTTGCCTCACCAAAGCAAACCTCGGCTCGGATTTTCCTATAAAATCAGCACGAGTCTGTTTTTGAGTTTCAGTCCCTCCCATACCTCTTCTCTCCTCTCAACCATTTTATAACTTCATGGAACTGAGCATCTGCCTCTACTGTGAAAAACCGTTGCCCAATGATGTATGAGTCCTTCAACTTGGGAAATCGATCAAAAACTTAAACCTCTTGCTTATCCTCCTATTTCCACAGACCATGAGCTTCTGTTCCTTTGCATGCCGAGCATCAGAAGCGAGCAAACATAACGCTGCCAACCATCATTCTTACCCAATGAATTTCAACCGTAGACGATCTTTGTCCATACTGAATACACCACCGTCACCAGTTACCACTGCTAGCTCACGTCTTTCCATCGGATCGTTGAACTCCGGCTACCTAGATCACCGTGCGTGGACCTTGTTGGAAAGTGCATCCGATGCCTCTAGCATCGAATCTTTGTAAATATAACAAACTGCATCGCCTCCAAGGAACTATCCCCCACGCTCGGGCGGCGTGCCGAGCTTCTGCTTCAACCATATAAAAAAAAAAAAACTCAGGAAAACCAAAATTTTGAAAACCAAGGATGGGCTTGTGTCCATTCCACACTTTCCATGTTCTATATCCCTTCCGATACCGAACTGCGTCTGGACGCAGTTTCCCCTTCTACAATTGATGTACTTCTTTCAAACCAAGAACCAAACTATTCTGCTTTTCAGAACTAGTGAATGAGCTGTCAAGATCTTTTTTCTCAGCATTTGTATCATAGCTTGAGCGTGATATTACAAAAATAAAATAAAGTAAAATATTTAGCTCAATCCGGTGAGTGTCGCAAAGGGTTGGTGCACAAACAAACCGAAAAAAAAAAAAGGATCACTTGACGTTTTCCTTCCTCGATGGTTTTCGAATACCCTCTGCGTATTCAATTTCGGTCAACTAACTTCGGTAAACTTCCAGAGATAACCTTAAAATGCAACTTCATGACCAAGCTTTCTTGGCCGTACAATGATTGTGGCCACCTGATATTCAGCGTATAATGTTACGGTTCTCCTGTAATCACTGCAGGCAAAGTTCACTTCGACACGACAAACTATGGCTGCTTTCACTCGGCCAGATCTTTTTCTCTCTCTTTTGGCTCGTTCCAATATTGCTCCCTAGGGTGGTGGCGGTATACGGGTAAATCTACAACCAATTTCCCGGAAAGCGATGGGCGCCATTCTGTCAACAAAAGAGAACGTGCTGTCTCAGGACTGGGGTACCAAGTTCTCAGCTGTTGTCTACTGGCCCGGCTAGTTCACTGAATCTCATTCTAAACGTTTGCGGAAACTTACTGTCTCATTTAAGCACATTTGGATGAAATCGTAACGTTTTATACTTACCATACGAACATCTCGTAAATCGTGCAGCAGTGATGTAGCAAACAATTTGAATATATTTAGCCTACCTGCATTAAATGCGTGTATGTTTATCAATTTATATGCTTTATTTTTCTTTTATCTCTGTTGAAAGATCGCCAATGAAGCCTCCTCACGTACTAACTTTTCTGGCTATTATATGCTAGCTTTTCCCATGCGAATGAAAGCATCTTGCTTGGCTTCCTTGAATGTATGGCCAGCGAATTTGTACTGATTATGCACTTTCTTATAGAGGAATACCGCCATAACTCCCAATGCAAGCCAGCAAATGGTTGCAAGCAATGTGAAGACACCTGACAAAATGTAGCCGTCTGAAAATAGAGTAACAAGAAGGATCAATCCAGCTCCACCACTGTTTGTGAGAAAGGATGTTAATGCTTCAATTGAAAAAATGACTTGAATGTTTGTTTGCAATGATGCTCCTTACGTGGATGGAATGCCAACTGCCATGTAAAAGGTATACAATACGTGGAATCCGTTGAAAACAAAGAAGAAGTCTGAATGAAATGAAAGAGGACAACCACGTTAGTTCTTGTCTTCTATGGTTATTTTAAGATTCAATGGTGATCGCTGCTGCTGTGTACTTACAATAGTACAATGACACTTCCTTCATGTAAGCATTGTAAACAGGTCGGTACCACAAGAAGAAACTTGCTGCAGTGTGAGTGAACATTTCTGTCAGAGCGACGCCCATATCGGTGGGAGCACTTGTGACAGATGGAGGATGTGAAAATAAGACACAAAGACATGCAATGAAGTTCATAACCAAAGTGACTTCGAACAGGAGCCATTCTCTATAAAGCCAGTTCATGACGCCTTGGTGTTGTGGCGGAATTTCAACAGCAATATCGAGATAGAGGAATGGGAAGCAAGGAGGAAAATTGTTGGGTTGTCTGCCTTGGCGAGATAAATTCATCTGTCTCTGTTCAAGGTCTCGTTCACGCTGTTCAAGCTCGCGCTCCTTTCTTAACAATTCCTCTTCTCGACTCCCAGATACATGTCCTGGTGTAGGTGTAGATGCATTCGATCCATGTTGATATGGGCTGTCTACCGTTGAGAATGGGTCGACTTCCGGTGCCGAGAATTGTCTTACGGTGGCCCCTGTAAAGTCATCTGTCGATGCGGCGAAGGATGATGAGTTGGCGTGGATTGGGTCTGTTTCAAGCTGATATGCCGGCTCCTCACGATTTGAAGTGAGTGCAGAGGTAATACTGGGATCCTCAAACGGATTTGAAGGATCGTCAAAAGGATTTGGCTTTGACATGTCGACGAAAATGAAGCTATCGGTGAACCTGTACCTTTTGCCAAGCGGGGTCCAAACCTTTATACGCTTTTTTGCTTGAATGAGCCAAAAACAAATTATCCCAACCAATCAAATCCTTTGGAAGCGCTCACTGCATCGCCAAGCTTGCTTCACCTGAAATGGCATATCAAAACTGTGCACAGCCTAATGAAGGATCAAGTTGATAAAGTGACTAGATTTTATTATATACTTTACACCGTCTTCGCGGAGGAGCAAAAGCTTGAAGGGATTGGCCAGGGCTACTTTAATTGTCATCTTACCCGTACGCTACCAAAATCCATCTATGTGCTTTCAACACGCGACAAAGCTTATGTTCACAATTCTACGAGTTGTCTACATGTAACGATTTCACGCTGATTTCTCTTCGACAGCTGTTTTCTTGTCAGCCAAGAATTTGGTCATGCCAATCAAATTTTGGATTTCTTGAGGCGTAGCCATACCATGTGCAGTCCAACGAACTTTACAATTTTCGTCCACAAGGAAAACATATCCTATATACTGGTTGCTCATGGCAAGGTATCGTCTCAGTCTTGATATGTCCTTAAAAAGCAGCACATAGTTATCCTGTTGTTCAAATTTTCGAGTTACAAGTTAATGAGCACGCCTGGTCCAGCCTCTCCCACAAATGGCGATGAGGAGCTTTACCTGTCTTTCCAGAGGCGTGTTCTTCTTTATAGTACCCATGAGAGCCTTCATTAGATATTGCTTAAGTAAGTTCTCTTGCACATTAAGCTAAAACATTAGAGAGGTCCATATTAGCATGTGTACCATTCCATTATGTTAATGCTGGTGGTCCTAACTTACTTCTACCAATTGAATATCCTTTCGATCTTTGAAAGCAGTCAAAAATGGGTTGATGAAGGTGTTTACGTGTTGCTATGGAGAAAAGGTGCTGAATAAGTGACAAGTTCGGTATGAATTTTTCTTGGGGTGTTCACTTGTCAAATATCTTACTTCTGCATACTGGGCCAGAACAAATGACATGAGTGAGATTTTGCCGTGTAGCATATCCGTGGTGTGAATCTTTTCCTTTTTGAAGTTTTGGCCTTCAAAGTCAGGCATATACAATGCTTTCTGTACATCACATATTAGCCAAGTGAGCATGAAGGGGGCCCCTACACATTGTCAAGTTCAACTAATTTACCTCGGCTCTGATAAGTTTGTTAGATGCCTCAAACAATTTACCATTATGCTCTCGCATTTCTATGTTCAAGAAAGTAAATAGAGTTATCAGTAGGATGTCAGCCTTGTCAAATAGCCAACGATGGATTCATTACCATGCGCATCTGCGAAATATGATTTGGTTGCCTCTGCAACTCTGTCATCGAAGTGATATTATAAATTAATTAGATGGCTGTGCATGATAATAGAGGAAGGCTTGACAAGAGATTATGTTTGACATACAGATATCGTCGCTCCTCAACGTGGGAAGCGAATGCCTTGTCATAGTCAGTCAAGTCTTGTAACTTTTGCTTTTGGCGACCAACCCAAGAGTTGCGATCAGGAATAGGCCGGTCCTTTACGCCCAACACACTGGGAGGTTGACGTTTCGGGGCATCGTCGGTTGCCTTTGGCTCATTCTTGGGAGTAGGAGTTGAACTTGATGCCGATGCCAATGTGCGGCTAAATGAATATAATGCTGGTACAGCCATCTTGGCACATGGTGCTCTTGCCTGTCGCACCGTATTGCTGAATATGATGTTCATAGTACGTGTAATGTAGCAGCCAATTTGGCAAAGAAAAAAGTATGAACAATTTGATGGTGGTGGCTTGCGCGCCTATAATTCTCCCCTGCCCTACGATTGTCCTCGGTCGTAACTCAGCGACCCCTTCTCTCTTTGTCCGGAACTCTCGATTGTGTCATCCAAACTCGCACCACTAATTCAACCCGCTGAATATTTCAACTGTCTAAAATTCGGTTTCTATCAGTAGGTGTTGTCCACTGCCTTTCGTTCCATGTCGTCGATGACACTCATCTGACTGCATAATAGGGATTATTCGCCAACGCCTTGGGCAGGCGATCCAATGACCTCTCCGAAGATGGTACGTCCACCTGGCTAATATGATTAGGCATACTCGATTGATCCCCTGTTTTAACAGCAAATTAATATCATATATAGCCAACATTGGTCATTTTCGACTGATGCGTGTAGTGGGACGGGGTGCGTTCGGAAAGGTACAAAAAAAGGGAAATTGTTTTTGAGACGCCACCAAATCTTTAATTCGGTTGACTAAAAGTTGTTTTCTCATAGGTTCGCATCGTCGAACGGAGAGATACCAAAGTCTTGTACGCTCTGAAATATATATCCAAACATGATTGTATTTCAATGGACGCTGTACGGAATGTCATCCGAGAACGTGTAATGCTAGAGCAGTTGGATCACCCTTTCATTTGCCGTCTTCGATTTGCTTTCCAAGATGATGAGTATATGTACATGGTGATGGACCTCATGTAAGTTAGTGCGCTCATTACCCAGGCGGTGGGATTCACACGAATCATGATTGTCTAATCTTAATTGTTATTTGTTGACTTTGCTTCATTGTTACACATAATCATTTACTATAGGATGGGGGGAAATTTGGGCTTTCATTTATTACGTCAAAAGTTCGATGAAAATGTGATTCGGTTCTGGATAGCCGAACTAGCATGCGCCATCAACTACCTCCACCAAGAGCGGGTTGTACACCGAGATATAAAACCAGACAATATTTTATTAGACGAAGACGGCCATGCTCATCTAAGCGACTTCAACATAGCATCACATCTCCCATCTCACCGACCATTAACGTCGCAATCAGGAACTGCACTATATATGGGTAAGCAAACGATTGCGTTGAAACCAAACCCGCTTGACCAATCAATTAACCATAAATTTTCTATTTCCGTCAAAATAGCACCAGATATATATCGAGGCGGTGGCTATAATGAAGCCGTTGATTGGTGGGGGCTAGGCGTCACTATGTATGAGTGCGTCTATCGAAAGGTATGTATTAGCGAATCTTCAAATGTTAAAGCACTCTGGTGTAACGTTCGCGAGTGACTAAGGCTGCTTATATTTAAATCACAGCGCCCATTTGATTACGACAAAAGTGAGGAATTGCAAAAGGCGATATTACGCGGCCATGTTCATTATCCGCAAAATGTTCCATATTCAGTAGAATGTGTTTCGGTTATTCAAGGCGTAAGTATATCTCGTTTTCTTCTTACCAGTTAAAGATGAAGGGTGAGCAAAACATTAATGAATTGGGTTTAGTTATTGGAACCGAATCCTTCCAAAAGACTAGGCTATGGGCCTGCTGGATGGGCTGCCCTGGTTCACCATCCCTTCTTTCGATCAATAGACTGGCATCGATTGAAGGACAAAACGTTCACTCCGCCTTACCGACCACCATCCAACCAAAATAACTTCGATGCAACCCATGATCTTGAGGAACTGCTATTTGAAGACAATCCACTTTCTGGGCAACCTCGAAAAAACACACGCAGGCATCGTGCAAAGTCTTCTTCGGGCATGTCGAAGGAGATGGAAAAATATGAACGCGAGATGGATTTCATTGAGGAGCGGTTTAAGCCGTTTGACTTTACTGTTTTTGAACGATACGAAGGATTTCAAGACCCCGTTCGCATGACCGTCGGTGAACCACCAGAATGGGTCAAGCCAGCGTTTGAAGGTGCGGAGCATGGCGATTTCTTACCTGTGAAGCGAATCTCAACCACCAGCCAGATGGAGAGCGAAGAGGCTCTGGTTGGACCGCCACCAGTTGTACCTCCTGCCATCTATGCTGATCGTCAATGGCGAGAAAATAACCGGGCACGACCAAGCTATATTGCTCCATTGGATAGCACAAATCAAGATGGTGAACAGCGGCAGCCATATGCCGGTCGGAGCGCGGATAGTAACGGAGGATTGACCGAAGAGTATGCATATTACCCAGCTAGAGAACTACAAAAGAAACAGAGCAATCGAAGCTTTCGTGAACGGCGTGAACGGGATCGAAGGAGCGTTAGTCGAGCAAATAATGATACCCGAGCTACCTCGTCTACGGCAGCAGCCATAGAGACGCTTGCTGATAAACTTAAAGATATGTGATGTTGTGTAAGAGTACAATAAAGTGGGGTCCAGTGTAATAAAAAAATGAGTCTTCCCTGGTTGTATATAAAAAAGTTATTTAATGTCATTTGAATTTACGCTTACTGTCAGCCAATCGTATAGCTGAATGGGCGGATCTGGTGATGGACCACAGAAACCCCCCTCCTTCCATGGTACACCCGTCTCCTTGAGCCACAACCCCCCAAGTGGTACAAACAGAGCAACTGTTCCTAGCAAGCCGAATGTCTTTTCAAGTTTGGAGGCTTTACTATATCAAAACATTCTAATCGACTATTTGTTTACTGTAGCTCTGGAGGGACTTGACTCGTTCCTTTGTTCACTCTCGAAACTCGACCTTTTTTTTTTTTGTTTTTTTTCCTTCTTCTTCTTGTCATTACCTGGTAAGAGCAATATGCTACTCGTCTTTGCTGCGTCTTCCGAAAATATGCTGACTTTGCTTATCTCTTCGTTCTGTTCCAGTAACCAAACTCCCCACTCTTCCAAGCTCTATTGAAACATGGTTCATCAGCAGCTATTGCCCATGGACTCTCATTTGTCCACCAACGGAGGTGTTCTGTGCCAGCATGTCATAAAACCCCACCAACATAAGCATTCACCTGGCTTATCCTCGGCTAGTCAAGACCTGATTCATGAAATTGTGGCTATTTACAAAGAGCTATCCTGTCTACCGTCGCTCGAACCGGGAGCCACAACAAATAAACTTTTCTCGAGGTTGGTTGGGATCTGTATCAAGCAGTATAAAGCGGAGACTGTGTGTGATGTCCTGGACCATCCACAAATCCTTCAGCTTATCAAGCATCTGCGTAACATTTGCTCAACCGGCGAATACCTCTTGGAATGTCAATGGAGCCAAAAAATCATCCAGGATGCCTACTCGTACACTGAAAATCAACCGGAGCTTCTTAAAAATTTTGTATACTACGACAACTACCACGACTTGACCAAGCTAGAGCTGCATGCAATGCTTGGATGCGGCGTGGTTCCCCGAACTGTGGTGTTTGTTGGTTCAGGTCCGATGCCCCTTTCTTCCATTTTATTGGCCGACATGTGCAGCGATACAACGATCATCCGTAACTTAGACATAGATAAAGACGCCATCGATATAGCGTCAGAATTGGTTTCAGTCATAGGAAAAGAAAAACGCATCCAAAACTTCCTGTGCGATGGCATGGAGTATACAGGTTTTGGCCAAGCTGATGTTATTTTTTTAGCAGCCCTGGTAGGATGCGATCATCAACAAAAAATGCAACTCTTGAAAAGAATTTACGATCAATGCAAGCCAGGAACTGCTGTGATGGTCCGAAGTGCGCATTCCTTGCGGGCTTTACTTTACCCAGTCATCGAGCCTGAGGATTTAGTGAAATGCGGGTTTCTAGTAGACATCGAACTTCATCCTCATAATCAAGTTGTTAACTCTGTCATTCTGGCCAGAAGAGCATAAATATCGTATATGAAATAAAAGTCTTATTTGTGAATAAAGATGCGCTGATTGATATGACATCCGGTGTCGCAATGTTTCATAAATTACTACTGTAACCCTCGCGGTACTCTTTTAGGACCTTCCCAGTTGCGACGGAGTTCCTTAATTGATATTCCGCGCCAGTCATTTGATGACCTTAACAGTGGTACGATGCAGGCGAAATGACACAAGATCAACAGCTGCACCTCACAAATAGATAAACACATGGTCTAAAAGCAAATAATATGCATGATAAAACAAAAAATAGCCCATAATTGCATCTGATCTAAAGAAGTTCCGAAAAGTGAGGCAGAAAATCAGGAAGTTGGTGAGAGATAACCACAAAAATTTAGGAGTACCTTGTGGGCTGTGGCAATAAATTTTTACAGCAAAAATTTTTGAATTATCGTGCAGTCACAAAGTCCGCTGAGTACCCGACCGGCTGTTTGGCAACCTTTGCGGTTTTTATATAAACTCGCCCCCAACGTTTTGCATATCACCTCATCTCCACTTCACGCTTTCAAGAATGAAGAACTCAATGTATTTACTGCTCTCTCTTGCGTTTCTGTCCTGTGCTATGGCTCAAGGTATGTTCATCTACCCCTGCTTACCCCCTATCGTTTTATTTATTAACCTTTGCTTTCAGACGCAGGATCGACTGATGAAAACGCTTGTGCTGCTGAACCTTTGGAGGATTATAACATGCCATTGAGAATTGGAACAGTCTTCATTATTCTTGGCACCTCATCTATTGGTAAGTAATCTGTTTGCAGACTTGTTTTGCTGGTATACGATCTGTTCCTCATCAACTCCGAATGTTCCCAGGAATTTTTACGCCACTCCTCCTCCATTACTTTGGAAAGCAGGATAGCGCTTTCATCAAGTATACCCTGCTGATTGGAAAGTTCTGTAAGTAAACTCAACAAGACTGTATCTTTTCCAGTTCTTTCTTCTAACGCTAATCTGTCCATAAAGTTGGAACGGGTGTCATCCTTGCTACTGCGTTTGTCCATATGCTTCCAGATGCATTCAACAACTTTGCAAACCCCTGTCTTCCCGCTGGATGGCTGTCATATGGTGCCTTTGGTGGTGTGTTCTGCATGATTGCCTCCCTCCTCATTCAACTGATTGAATTTGCTGCCATCGCCAATGCCACTTCTATTAATCAAAAGAAAGCTGAATCAGACGCTAAATCTGCCGTTGAAAACTATAAGGCCACTGACTCCATTACTGAGAGAACCGCTTTTGACCAGAAGAACCTCCCATCCCACGAGCTCGCTGGAGACCACGCTCATGAAATCGGCCATTTCCATACTGCCGGCATGTTGGAAGAAGGCCAATCCTTCCGTAACATTGGAACTTTGACCTTGGAACTTGGAATTGTTATGCACAGTGTCATCATCGGTATCACTCTTGCAAACACCGGAAGTGATGAGTTCACTACTCTTCTTATTGCCTTGGTTTTCCATCAGGTAAGAAAAAAGTCTAAAAAAAAATGCACTTTTCGATTTGGTCCATATCCTAACTGCTTTGTAATACAATAGTTCTTCGAAGGTATTGCCCTCGGTACTAGAATTAACGACATGAACCTCAAGTCATTCCTCAAGCCTGCTATCATGTCCATTGCCTATTGTATCACCACTCCCCTTGGTATCGCTATTGGCATCGGTATTCACTCAAGCTTCAATGAAAATTCTCCATCATCCATTCTTGCCCAAGCTATCTTGGACTCCCTCTCCGCCGGTATCTTATTGTATAGCGCTTATGTTGAACTGATCGCCATGGAAATGAATCACAACCCTGAATTCCTTCAACGTTCCTTTGGTTCAAAAGCTATGTGCTTTATATCTCTGGTAAGTGATGCTCAATGTCTTGAAGAAAATAATCAGCAAATAGAAACTGTTGCTAACTATCATTTTTCCCTTACATAGTACACTGGAGCCGGCTTGATGGCTTTGATTGGCGAATGGGCATAATGGCGACGATGCCTCGATGATTGACGCTGAGAAGGATTATTCACATTGTACTGTGTACAATTACTTTAAAACTAAATCATACCTTTTTATGACTATTAATTACATCTATAGATCTGTAGCATCCACACATATATTTCATTAAAAAAATATAACCACCAATTTTTTGATTTACATTAGTGTAACTGCCGCCTACTTCGAAGCAGTAGTAGAATTGTGGAAGCATCTGTTTAGCTTTATTCCTTACTGTAAACGATTAAACCATGGGTAATTGTGAGATATTAACATTGCAGTTCAGATCACATATACCTATGGTATTGACTTGGTTCATGATTTTGGTTTATGGTTTATATCTTAATAAAAAATTGTCGTAGTAATGGGCTCAGTTAGTTGGAACTTATATCTTTAATTTAGGGATGTTTGAGCTCCAGTTGTTGCCAATTGTTGTTGGTTTCATAGGTTGCCTATTTTAAATGCTTTAGTGTTTTATAGCCATTGATTGATTGACTTGTGACAGAATGACTGCATCATTATGGTAAAGATAACAAAATGATGATTTCACTATTTGCCAAAAGCGCTACGGTCAGTCTCCAGAACGTGCCAGTGAACAAAGGTTGGTTGAGAAGGGCGTTTGATACTCCGCTCATGCAATTTTTTTTTTTTGCAAAGGACTTTTTTTCGTACTGTCATTGCAAAACTCACAGGAACAGACGGATTCAAAGACATTTCCTCTCAAAGTTCTGTCTCACAATGTCCATCGACCCTTCAGAGTACTTGGCCGACCCTGGGTAACTAAAGCTGTTCTTGCTTTCGCGCTATCACCTTTAAAAACCCCCAACTTACACCTGCTGCTCAACTACAGCTACTTTAACGTGTCGCCGCAAGAAAAGGCCCCTATGCTCATTGCTGTAGCTGGAGGTGCATCCAGTGGTAAGGTTGGTAGCTTTGGAGACCCGACAATGATCCTCAAAATTTAGTACAAGGTCAATATTAAAGTTTGGTCAATACAGCTAGAGGTCTGCAGCCTGATAGGAGAAAGGTTCGCTTCCAAGGCAGACACCAATGTTAGCGTCTTGGTGAGTGTAGGAACAAAAGATTAAAAACTATGAAGCAATTGGATGTACTAACTGGACATCCTAATGGATTTAGAGTCTTCACAGTTTTTATCGAGAACTCAATGAACAAGAGCAACAACTGGCCGAACTGGGTGACCTCAATTTCGATCATCCTTGTAAGCAAAACACTTGAATTCTTTTGATTCTGTCGATGAACGTCCCTCGCAACTCACAGTGTTGTAGCTGCCTTCGACTTTGAGCTTTTAGAAGTGACTCTTAAGGATTTACTGGCAGGAAAATCCGTACAGGTTCCGATTTGGGATAACCGAGTGCAGAAAAGGTATATGACCGATTATGCAAACCATCCCTTCTGAAAACGCTAAACAACACATACTAAATTACTTCCATCGAAAGAGTTGGGTTTAAGGATATTCATAGCGCACATGTTATCATTCTGGAAGGTATCTTGGTACTATATCCAGCATCAATTCGCAAGTTGCTGAACATGAAGGTGTACATAGATATTGACAGCGATGATCGACTTGCCAGCAGAGGTAAATGCGAATAATATTATACTAGAGTGTGAAAGGTCATCATAAGTAAAAGCATGCTCATGGTATCAAACCTGTATCTTTGTGTTTCGAACACTTTAGTCCAGCATAACGCCAAACTGAGCGACCCTGTACCTTTGGAGCGAATCTTGCGCCAATACGTCAAATTCGTCAAAAGATCCCATGAAGAATTTGTACAGCCCGTAAGTACTACAACCAAAATTTGTATGTTGCTCACCGGTTGTTCATAATACTGACCATTGTGCTATCCATCCTATGGTACTCCAGACAAAGCAATATGCAGATATCATCGTCCCACGTGGCATAAAGAATAAGGCCGCTATTACCTTGATAACAGAGCATATCGCTAGCTTTCTTCAAGGAAAGGACGCTTACGTCCTAGGCGAAGAAAGTGGACGTTCACTTTTAGGCTCTGATCACAGTACAGAACTATTGGGTAGCAAGGATAGCGAGTTTAAGCGTATTCCACAATGAAGCGAATCCTCGTTTGTAATATTGGATAGCCTGTATATAATACATCAATCGTTTGATATAATTGACTAGTCATGCTCTTTATTAGGCTTGCAATTGAAGCCGTGTGCATATTAATTTGTATCCATATCTACATACATGTACATAACCACTCTGCTTTGAATGCATTTAGGCAAATACTTTGATGACTCCGTCGCGATCTCCACTAATGATCATAGGATAAGGCATTTCGGTCATGACCATACTTGTGATTGCATCCATATGGTTTCGCATCATATTTTGATGTTGCACCACATTGCTAAGGTTGGTTGTAGTATTGGATGGACTGTTGCGAGAGGAGAACGGTGGGCGACCGGCTGATCCACGTTTAACCTGAGCGAATTCAAGATGAAACTTGATATTTTCTATCGTATTTGAACTGAGTTGGTTGAATATTGGAAGAAAAGAGAAGGATGAGTTAGTATCACACATTTATAGACATAATGTCTTTCATTTTGCTTTCCAGAAATGCTCATACCTGTAACGTGGTCGTGGTTCTTCTGGATCTAGGCCAAGCACCACAGTAGAGTTCTCAACCCTGGTCATGTCCCAAAAGCGAATTTTCCTATCCGAACCACCTGTCAGCATTATATGGCTATCTGAAGGAATAATGACGGATTTTATCGAGTTATCCGCCAAATTAGCTTCATGTGATGAAGATGCATTTCGAAGCGTGTCGCTATCAGCAGGTGGATCCAATTTCTGTCAGAGACATAAACATCAGTAAATATACCTTCCAAAAATGCAACTTGAAATTTGTCTGTAATGTGTTAATAAACTTACTTTGTAAGCTTCCAATGCGATGGCAGTCAGCTTTTCATCACCGTATTTAACACCAAAGATTTCAACACACTGAATGGTAAGGATATCCCATACAGTGACTTCGTTCCGTCCGGCAGATATGACAACACGTTTGCCCTCCCACTTCGGATCAGGATGTTGCAAGAGAACACTGATGGGACTTCGGCTGGGATGAAGCCAAGATCGTAAAGGAATACAGAACCGAATGTCGAAAAGCGTGAGTACGCCCTTCATGGTGCCGACTAAGAGCCAGGTATGCTTCTGGTCCGTTATCAAGGATGTTATGACACCTGAAATAACAATCATAAGGGTTCTGCCTGATAAATAGATTTTTTAACAACGACATTTTTATGAAATACACGTACCGTAATTTGTTCGATTTTTGAGCTTCCACACCATCTCCATGGTTCGTAAATCTAAAGCATAGATGTTGCCCTTGGTAGTCGCAAAAACGAGCAAAGATTTGGAACCAGCCATAGTATTCGCAGCATCTAACAAGTAGGATTGATCAGTTAACAGGATATTGCTAATAGGTTTGTTAACAGGCTATGGTAGATACTTGCTTGTATCAAAGTGTTTTATAACTACTGCATGTTCATCCACCAGTTGATATTTCCGAACGGTTACACACTTGCCATATTTTGGAGCATTGCCTCCGAAGCGGAAGTCCACACTAATGATGCCAAAGAGGTAGGACATTAACATTTGGTACACCCTCTGCTTATCCGTATTAGTCGTAAATGACATGGCTCTTACCGGAAAACGTAGATACTTCCATTATCAGAAGCGCTGGCAATACTATAAGAATTTTGAATGAAACACATGCATTTTATACGTCCTCCTATAAGTCCCAATGGTTAAAAAGTTTGTCATGTACAACAAACAGTATCTTAGTATCAATTTTGTCATACCTTGCTGGTTAAAAGTAGATCGGGATCGGTTGGTCACATTGCGCTCCAAGCGTGAGCAGTCCCAAATACGCACAGATCCATCATCCGAGCAAGAAGCAAAGAAAGTATGGTCCCAGGAGATGATGATTTGATTGATGGGAGCAATATGTTCGGCAAGATGTGCCACCAAAGTACCTAACATGGGTATCATCAGTATCTTAAATTGTTAATGGAAGGTAAGTACTGTAATAAATGGTTTGTGAACGTACCTTCCGGTTTCCAATTAGCTAATGATCTAAAAGCCGACATGCCTTGTGGTACTCGTCGGCCTCTAGGTCTCATTTTTCCATCACCTTTAATATCTGAATGCGTAGAAATGTTAGATAACAGCATTTCAAGATTTCACGACCACAGAATACAGTACCTGGCATGTTGGGAGGGAATGCTTCGCTTGCAATTTTCAAGAATAGCTCTTGCAGGTATTCGCTGTGGGTTACTAAAGCAAGTACACCGAAGGTTAGAAAATTTAAAAGCTAAATTTGGTACGGATCAACAGGTTGACATACCGCCGGGTTGCATGGGTTGATCTGAGCCTTGGAACGCCTGAATGATAGCATCATTCGTAGGCAGTACATTCAGAGCATCATACGCAGGGTCGTCTTCGTCCACTGTATCCGCATTGGCGACCGCCATGACATTATCAGGATTATCCGGTTCGTCTTGGTTACCTTTGTTACCTAAGCGACCACTGACGTTCATGGCAATGGTGCTCGTTTCAGCGTAAGCTTTCGAACCTTCATATGACGTTGACGGCGCAATGAGTGCTCTTGATCGACTTCGTCGAATTCGTTTTCCTGTTTCAAGATCCAATTCCCCAATGGAAGACGATATGCTGGAGGGGTAGTTAGATTCAACTGGACTAGGTAATTCCGAGTTCGCGTTGTTGTCATGTTGTAATTGTATGGGTAAAGATTTAAGTTTAGCAAAAGGTTCGTCCTGCTCCATACCACTAATTTGCGGTGATGATACGCTCTTTCGTTGACCATTTCCAGTCAACTGATTTTTGGTGGGGCTATCGTGTAGACCATAGTCTGATACTGTGCGTCCAGTAGTGGCATTGCTATCATAAAAAAGATCAGTAACCTAAGGGTAATGATATCCACTACACTCGTCATTATGAAATGTACCTTTCCAAAGACTATTCGAAATGGGTGAACTGGTTAGTAAATTTTTTCGACAGCTATTCAAGTAGCAGATTTGTCTTACCACTCTTGCCTCTTCAGCAGCTTTTCCGGCTCCTCTTTGTTCAGCTTCTGACGATATATCTCTCAGAAAAACTGTCATGGGAGTAATACCTAGATTCTTCAAGTACAATTCTCCATTCTGTAATGTATTGGTTAGTTTTATAAGGAAGATTGAGGTTCAACGGCCGTCAAGGTCAACTTACTTGAGTTTGAAGATCATCGACAACCTTTGGACGACTGTTGTTTGTGGTATTAATCAAAATGCTCCATGTACATTCGTATTCAAGTAGCCTACACGGAAACTTGCCTCATTTTCGCTCCAGACACCTTGAATATGTATTCACGCATATGAACAAGCTTATCTTCGTCTTCTAATGTCATACCGATGCTTCGCAATCTCTCCATGAACTTCTCGTCCCTAAAATACGGAAGCAACGTATATTGGTCAAAAGTGAAGCGTCGGTGCAGTTCAAGATGGTTGATAATTCTATTTTCAACATACTCTTCAGATCTTGTAATTTTCTCACTGGGCATGAAACTGTTGAACAGTGATCCTTGTCTGATCAACGTACCAGGACCTCGAATTTCCAACTTTGAGGATGCAGCACTGTCACTAGTCCTCTTTTTGTGCCCTATCTTCCAAAAGAGAGATTTGGACGTTGCTTTACTGGCCCATACCAAAGCTTGGTCATATATCTGACGTGGAAGCTACACCGATGTTCAAACAAGAAACAATGAGCCCAAAGAAGAGCAGTGCTATAGTATAGGTATACTTACTGGTGGTCGTATATTCTCGAGAAGACCGAGTTCGTTCAATTCAGCAACATCCGATATCAGAAATGGTGTTAAAAGGGGGTATATAATACACCAGATATCGGTTTGAGGGAGATGCTTGGAAGTAGAGGCAATAAATCCGATAGCGCCATACCGAATCCATATGTTAGGGTGACAGGTGAGTGGGGCAATAACACCAACAAGCTCCCAGAGCTTCATCTTTTGAAATAAACCCAAGTCTGACAAACTTGTCAGGGTAGTTAAAACATTTTCGACGACAAACTCTTCAACGTCTGCAATAAAAGATAGTCATATCAGCAAGCAGATCAGTCAAAAGGAATGAATGACAGCGCTACGTACCTGTCAAAGCCTGCATCATGAGTGGAAGGATATATTCCTCTAAACTTCGACCTCCAACGAATGTACCGATTCCTTTAATGCTCTCAAGAAAGGCACTGACAGAAACGATGCTGGTTAGGACATTGTCAAAAGAGCATTTCTACAATTCCAAAAAAACACATACCTTCTGAGCATCCAGTCTTTATCGTTCAGATAAGTGATCATATGGCTGAGCAGGACATCGTTGGCTTTTTGGCGACCGAAGAATAAGCATAAACAGGTGATGTTGATAAGCAAGGCACGCTTTACTGCACTTTCAGGATCGATCAAAAGCGTTGCGATTTGCTCTTGAAGGATGGATTTGAGCTCAGCCATGGACGAGTCATATATTGACTAAAGGTTTGAATTGGTGAGTATACGAAAGGTTCTCATACATATAAGTGAAACATCAGGTATGATGCTGTTACCTCGATATTAAGGTCATTCGTTTCCGCATCGGCGGTAGCGAAGGTACCATCATTAATGAGAACCTATACAAGTTGTATCAATAACAACGTCGCACTACATTGTCACTACCGCAGACCCCTACCTGAGTCATTTCCTGGAATCTAATTGCGGTTTCCGCTAGTAGAGCGATGCAGGTCGCATAAGTGGTCCTGACCAATACCTCTTTATCAGTAGCAAATGGCTGAACATTTGGAATGATATACTCTGGGAAGATTGGAGCATTGATGGGAGAAATTGATTCAACCATACAAAGCTTTGGATAGAAGGTTGTATTAGTCAGTGATTTCCAGGGAACAAAGTCAAACGGCCGGTTCAACATACCACTTGCGTCAATGTTTTCAAAGCATTCGCTCGGACGAGGGCAGTTTCGTCGCTGAGAAGCGCAATGACGTACGGAACAAGGCGATCGAGCTTCACATCATCCGCTAAATGTTCACTCAGCGCTAAGAGAATATCCAAACCCATCAATTTCGAGCGTGGATAAACGGTATTTCGAATGAGTGAACATATGGTTGTTAAAAAAATAAGTGCTCCATCTTCATAAGCTTGGTTCCGAGGCTTTCTTGCGTATTTTTCGGAATGGTGTGGGTCGTAATTAGGTATATTTAATGTTGGTGGTAACAAGATAGTGGACGCTGTGGTGCTTTCCAGACCGGACAATGTCCGCCGTCGTTCACCAGGTGGAGCACGTGTATTAGTTTGATTCCCATCGTCGTCTTGTGCATTAAAGAAAAATGCGATCTTATCAAAGTCTTTGTAAATTCGTTCGATTTTTTTGTCCGCATCTGCAAGATCTGAAGCGTATGCTAACGGTGATGGCAAATTGAATATGTTTGGTGTAGGGCCAGTCTCGTTCGAGGCATCATGGCTGTCACTAACTGAACTAATATACTGGTACAGGAAAGTGTAAAAGTAATTTGGAAACGCCTTTCCTCTCCTGTAAGATGAAAACATGAACATCACATCACATCATCACAGCGCAGTGCACAATCAAAATAGTTACCATTTCTGCAAGTATGTCTCAGCAGTATAACGTTCGTTTGGATCAAGTTGTATCATATGTTTAACCAGATTCTACGACACGCGGTATGAATATAGCAGCTTCACAATAATGGTCAGTTTTATCGCCATTCCTTCACAACTCACCCTGATATCGACATCTTCAATTTTTTCCAACTGCTCGTGAGGGCTGTAATCTCCGCTCTTATACTTGAAAAGTTGAGATAGTGAGAAAATGGACGTTCCTTCCAAAAACATCTCTGCTATAACACATCTGGTTGTTGATATTGTCACTTGTTAATGATATGCAGTGACCATAATTTGGACTGGGCGATGAAGATTACCCTAAAGAAAATACATCCATCGCAGGAGTCAGCTCGCTTATATCTTCATCCCAGCTGAGTTGTTTCTGTCAAAGAGACATCAATATCATGAACGCTAACAAATGAGTAAGAGCTGAAGCGAACAGGACGTACCATGTGTTGATCAATCTCAGTTCCTGCTTTGTAAAATCTTTCTGGTGCTACGTAGCAAGTTCGACGAGAGGATGTGTCAAAGAAAAATGAAAAATCGGCTGGATTATCCTGTTGTCATAGTGGCGGAGAATTTAAACATCAGACCTCTGTGATATGGATTTAGCGCTAGAGGGTAGGGCAACAGAAAGCATAATACCTCAGGTAGATAAGTCGGTTTGAAGGATGCAAAATCGACAAGGAACGCCCAGTTCCAGCTGGTGACTTGAATGTTCTCAGTTTTGATGTCTCCGTGATATATCTTTAAGCAGATGTTGTGAGTACTGTGAAGTATGGGGATTTGCGACTCAGGCATTTATCCTACTCACCTCTTTCGAGTGAGCATCCGCCACGCCGTGTAATAGTTGATAGGCAATCCATTTTTTCTCAATTAAGGTCAAGAAAGGGCGTGTGCTTTTGATATTTTTCAAAAGTTACTTCTGTGTCGAAAAAGACAAAGCGACTTTGATGAATTTCGTTGATTTACCTTATGCGATCATACAAGCTGCCATAAAAGAATTGTCGGACCAAGTAAGCGGCCTTTTCAGTCTCCAACATCCGCTGCCATGGAAACACATTAGGCATGCCTGACAGCTTCTCCCGCTCGTCTATGATAGGAGAGGCATGTGAATACACACGAGAGCAAATAGCTAATAGATAATCAAATGGCAGATAAGTTTAAGTAGGTTGTAAGTACCTTCGAGTCGTTGTACATATCGCTGTAATGAAAGTCCTTGTTCTGGCTTTACAAATATCTTCACAATGACTAGACTGTCTTTGTGCAGACCACGAATGGTCTTCATGAAACGTGCACTTCCAATGCTGTGGTCAATGTCTGTCTGGTCAGTGCCTGTCGGAGGAGTTTGCGCGTGTATTTTGTGATGACTTGCCTGCGTTCATATTGTATATCTCCAAGCTCACTGACATAGCTGTCTATACCAGCAGACGCTGTAGAAGGTGTCGCGGTTGAGATCTTATTACCCATTGGGATTTCCAACGAGGTCCGAGATCGATGTGCGATTCGATGTGGCAGCGTAAAAGTCACGATTGTGACTGCATGACCGAAGCATTTCGAGCTCCGGCAGTCTTTGGGCATTTTGCAGCGGATACTTCGTGTGCCTCTCACAAAGGAGTTAAATTCAAGTGACTATAAAATATTTTTACTGGTGATGTGATTGTGTATTCAATCTATTCTATTTCTCACTAGAATTGCCAATCGTATGCTCTTGCATTGCTTCCATCTAGAACTTCGTTGACTCTTAAAAAAAATGAAATCGGCGGACAGAGAAAATGACCCAGCTATCAAAGAACTAGACTTTTTCCTTAGAGAAGCAGGAACTTTGACCACAGGATAAACTCCCTCGCCGCTGACAATTATATCATCCTTCTGGGCTAAGAATTTATTTAAAACGACTTGCCAAATTGGGTGGTACCTCCATTACCTCGTTTGGGGTATATTTCTTTGGTCGAATCGGATGGAATCTTTCATCATGAACTGCTTCCAGTTGGCAATGATTTGCACAAGGAGCATCTCAAACCAGCAAACGTCGCCGCTTTCTTCTAAAACAATTATCAAAAGAAAAATTTATCAATCTGAGACCAAGCTTCTCATTGGTAGAGGCGGGGAGCTTACAAGTTGGTTTCATCTCGAAGAGTTACTTCTCAAAGTGAATTTTACCCAATCATAGCCGGAAACTGATCTCTCCGGTGTTTGTATACAAGTGTTATAAAATTTCAGATCCGTCGCTGATAGAAAATTGTACATCCGTCAGGACCAAAAAAAAATGTTGGATATATAAGAGGCCTGATGGTAATTTATTTTTCGTCTTCATATTCTACTTCTCTTTTTACATAATGTCTGCCCAACACGCTGCTAAGAAGACCCTTTGGCAAATTTGGTTCAAGCCTGAAATCGTCCCCATCTACGCTGTTGTTGGTGGAGCCGTCGGTCTCGCTGGCTGGTACCTGAACCGTCTCGCTCACGGCACTGAGGTCGTCTGGGCACGAAAGAGCAACCCCTACCCGTAAGTAAAACCTGAAGCGATCGACATTGCTGAACGAAAGTATTCATATACTTATATATCTTTCATATAGTTGGCAACACGTTGACCAGGATACCCAGGTCAAGTGGATGACTGTCAACCAAAAGTTTGACAAGACGTAAGTTTTGGTGGCTTGTGTTATGAATGTGAGAGGGGATCCCTGACTAAACCGAATTATCATTTACAGTTACGCTCGCGACCGCTTGTAAAGCACTTCCTCTCATTCATCCCGGTCTGTCACTTTTTCTTTCAAAATACTTACAACCAGCCAGCACCCTATACATATATACCGATATTGGTTTCCATACGGCATCAACTAGATCCTATTCCTAGACACTAGATTAGACTAGAAATCTCAAGTTCCCTATCTTTTTCCTTTTTACGAGTCCCAAGATTTTCAATACAATATTGTTTCAAACAAAAGAAACCCTGCCTGCGCACAGACTTTGACTTTTATCGTCCCATTTTTTGTGTCGATCCTTGCCCCTTTAAACATCATTTGTGCTCAATACGCTTGAGTGAACGTGCGTTCTTCCCGAGACATTCAATGAAACTCCTTTTCCTCCGCTTCAATATAGATTTGAACTCGTCGATCTAGAACTTAAAAACATATCTTCTCAATATACAAATGGAGCGACTTCCATGTAAAAATAAAATAAACACAGTTGAGGTTGAATACATTGACAGTAAAGCTTGTAAACAAAAAAAGAGAGGAGAAAAGGTGTGATTACGAACAGCAAGGACAAAATAAAAATGGCTTGGAGAAATGTGTGTGAGAACAAAGCATGCCCTGAGGGGGGGTGGTGGTGATTACAATAAAGATACTTTCAGTGCCGGACTGACAAAAATAAAGAGAGTTTTGTTTTTTATGTTTTTCGGTCGGTCGTTTAGTTGCTGTCCGAGGACTCCACGGGCGTTGATGGCCGATAAATAAATTCTTCTTCTTCATTGTCGTCATCAACATCATCAAGAGTTGGTTTCAATTCTACGAACGCTTCTTGAGGGTCAGCAAGGGTATCTTTGGCAAAGTCTATAGTATGGACATCGAAATCCGATTGGCTGCCTTCAGCAAGGTTAGGGCTGGCCAGAGGTAGCTCACTGAGTTCCACCTGATGGACAGTAGCTTGGTGAACATCATCTTCGTCTTCGCCACTACTGTAATCCATTGGCGTGCCTGGTGGCTGTTGATCATGATGGTTGGCTGCTGCCGTTGATATGGCTTCCAAGGCTCTCTCCTGTTGACGCTGGCTAAGAACCTCTGGGTCAACATACTGGATAACGAATGTCTGTACATTTTTGTTTTCGTCTAGTGCAAGAGTCAATAAGATCTCTTCCAGAGGACGGCTGTGTCGTATAGTGTCCTCTTTGGTAGTATCTAGGTTGACCAAAGCTTGTCGCATTTCATCTTTTGGAAAGGTTGGGTTAGTAGGCGGGTTATACGGAAACATACAGGCAGGGTAAAATGCACTTACCATCTTCGCACACAGTTTTAAAAGCTCGAGCTACCGCAATGCGGACATTGACAACAAGATCGCTGGCAAGCATGTCCAGTCGCGGCAAGAAAAAGGAGTGAAAGTCCCATGCTGAAATTCCAGCATCCAACAACGCCTTGCTGATTTGAGCAAATCTGCAAAACCAGATATGTGAGTGGAAGAAAAAACAAAGTATGCTATTCGAACTCTTGCTTAAATGTTTCAACTTACACCATGCGGTTGCGGAATCTTTCTGAACGCGCAAACTCGTCAACTCTTTCCATGATGTGACCGAGTAGTTCTACTGGGGTATTGTCGTCCAATTCTTCGCTGGAAGCATCATCTTTTGTATCCTGTTGATTTTCATCGACAGCTTGCTTGACTATTTCTAAAAGTGTTGGGAACTGAATGATGATTTGAGACGACATTAGTCAATGAAACCATATCGAGGTTCTTGTCATAGACGAGGTTTTTTTACTTACACAGCTAACACCAGTTTCGCGGACACTTGCAAATTCATCCTGGCATGCGCGGAGAGCCAGTGGTACAATATGCTCCACGACGCGAGTGGGATCAAATAATAGAGAAATATCCTTCAGTTGCCCAGCAAGGATATCTCGTAGACGCCAATTTGTCATGACACCATCCCAGACCTCTGCCAAGATGGGAATATATTCATCTCTGGAAGATGGCGCAAGGGCGGCCAAAAAGTCAGATAAATGCTCCAGAACACCTTGTTTTACCTCGTCCAGATCCATTAAATAAAGTGCAAAGATCTGAACAAGATCATGTTCGGTCCTGTCGGGACCGATGATTCGGGCAATTTCGTGCAGAGAATAAGCAAACGTCCGTCGAACTTTGATTTGGTAGTCTTTGGTCAGAGTTAGATAGGTATCTTTCAAGTGAGTATCCCAAAGGTCAACGCCTGCTGTAAAAGCTACAGCAGGAAAGTTAAAGGCACATATTATAGCGCGATCAGAATCCATCTTGAAGGCTTGCTTGTTGCTGGCATGGGCACCCAAAGACAAGAAAAATTCTATTAAAACAATAGGCACCTATTTCAAAAGAAAGCAATGTTTGTTTTAGCGATGATCAGGCCACAGCCGATAGGAAATTCTAAATAACACTGTACTGTACCTCTCCAGGTTGCCGTGATTCTTCCCATCCTTCGGGCAAAAACTTTGTGATAAGTTCTCCAATGATTTCTGCAAGCATGTTTCGAACATTTCTTGACACGTCGTTCATAAACAGTTCGACACCATCAACGGCCAATTTTGTCCTCAAGTCCATAGGTAAGACTCCGCAAAGTATTGGCAATGTTAGAGTTGCTGATCGACGAACGTGCCAAATAGTGTCTTTGCTAAAGCTTTCGTAAAGTGGGAGCTAAACATAGTGAAGAAGTAAGCGATAGGTGAGTTTCATAATACAGAGAAAGGAAGACCAATTCCAAGTTCACGAATGCCCACAATCTTCTACTTACAAGCTTTTCAATGACGAACTCTTGATTCACTACAGTTGCAATGCTACCAATGGCCCCGGCTGCTTCTTTTCGGACGTAAAAGACATTGTCCTTTGCCATTTCTTCTACAATAGGCATAAATATCTTGGTACAACGTTCTTCACCCAAATACGACGCCAAGGATGCAATCAACTAGAAAAGATGTTACTTGATGAACTGACTGACAAAGCATTGTGGTATCATAGCGGTACACTTACAGATAAGCTAACCATCTTGCAGAGATTAATTTCACCCTGATCAATATCATCGCTCATTTGGAATACTGCCTTTTGATTGTTGTTTTGCGAATCAGGAGAGCCAACACTACTTTGACTGCCATTCTCGCCACGACTTGATTCGTACAATGCGGTCTTGATCCTTCCAGCGATAGAAAGGAGGCCATTAATGATGCCGTCAACAATCTCATCATCAAGAAGCTTTTGTGCTTGAGATGGCGAAATCGATTCATTTTCCGTCGCTGTATCACCACTGGCTATGCTGGTGAGCTGATATACCACAGAAACGATACATTGCTGTGCTAAAGAAGCTAGATTTGAATTTTGATCAATCAAAAGTTCAATCAGTATGTTCGAAAAGATGTGTAGAGGGATATGGTAGGAATTCATCTTGTCTTCAGAAGTATGTGAAGCTTCCACTGATGGAGAAGATATCATCTTTGTAGCCGGTGACGGCCCAGAAGATACGTCGGGTAGATCATTTGGTTCAGCATTGTCTGAATTGCTATCTTCTTGCATTTCATCTTCATCCTTCTCCGTTTCAGTCATCTCTGTCTCTATGGTAGAATTAGGGGTCGGGGTTTGAGATTCTATCGAGGTTATATCATGACGCCGGGTATCTTGATCGATAATGGGTGGAGCATTCTGGGTTGAGATACATGTTAATTGTCAGCTATGCTGAAGAGGAGTTCCTTCCCCAATAATGTCTCTCAACATGTGGTACACTTACGCGATAATAATACATGATGATTTTGTCCAACTCAACAACAAATGTCTCTCGAACAGTATCATCAACATCCTTTGAAAGTGCCTGTACCATCGGTAAGGCTAGATTGACGGCTTCAGGGGTGGACATGTTTTCCAGACTGATTGGCAACTCTCTGGCTACGAGGAGTCTAATATAACAACAAGAAATATCAGTCTCTCGAAAAGATGATGAAACTCCTACCAACTGACTCATGTCTTACCTGTGCACGATTTCGTTACTTTTAACAAACATAGACATGCGCTCAATGGGAGTCAATGATTCATCGATGATGAGTTCGTCATCTTCGAGTTCTTCTGGTGTCATCTCTGGAAAAAAAAAAAAAAAGAATATGTTAGGATGATCCATCAGCTTAAATGTTGAGCCACATACAGAAATTCATCACAGAGTGCTTCTCTCCTTCGTATAAAACGATATCATAAAGTGCATTATTTTTTTTCATTCTGCAGCATGTTATCATAATGACCATACCTCGTGTCATGGCCATTGGCTCAGCGTCGTCAGCAACGACGTCCACATATCCGTCAGAGCCTTCCAAATAAGTTTCTGGTAGCTGTAAACCTTGTTGTTGTTCGAATGCGGTGTCTGACTCATCAGTCATCAATTCAGGCGATGACTGGCCCTGATCGGTAAGGGTACCTGAAAGAACAGCGTGCATGAGTTGTGGTTCATCTAGGGTCAGGTGGTGAGGTGGATCTGGAGGCGATGATGGCTGGAACGGAACGTCATCCTCGTCCTCGAAGTCGATTCCGAGATCTAAAGTAATCAATTCATGAATATACCATACGAGATCTATGATGGTTAGAGTAAAACAAGAGGATAATTTACCAGCCATAACGGGGTGGCGATGGGTTAGATTGTTCAGGCTATCGAGCAAAAAGTGCCTGCCTCACTTTTCTGGATTCTGAATCTCCGATTGCACGGATACGTCACAAAGTCGGCAATGGCCTGCCTGCCTGACTGACCGAACACGGGGCCAGAATACCAAATAATTTCGATGCGAAGAGGGATTGTATTGCTTTTTAATTGAACGATATTACAGACAAGGAAGAGGTGGAAGTAAAAAAAAAAATGGAAAGAAAAGAAAAATATATTGTATCTATTTTGTTCGTTTAGGAAATTAGAAATGAAAAAGAGAGCTTGTCATAGAAAACCTGCTCTTTAACCAATGCTGTGAGAGCATTTGATCCTTCTTTTCCTTTTCCTTAATCCATGATACGGGAGATGACACCAGTACCAACGGTCTTGCCACCTTCACGAACAGTGAATCTTTGACCTTCCTCCAATGCAATGTCGTGAACAAGCTCGCACTCCATAGTAACGTTATCACCGGGCATGATCATCTTTTCCTCGGGGTTCTCTGTGCCAGCAGGATGCTTCAAGGTGACAGTGACATCAGTTGTGCGGACGAACATTTGGGGTCGGTAGTTATCGACAAAGGGAGTGTGACGGCCACCTTCTTCCTTGGTCAAAATATACAATTGAGCTTCGAACTTCTTGTGAGACTTGACAGTTCCAGGAGCGCAAAGAACTTGACCACGACGGATTTGTTCACGCTTAACACCACGGAGCAAGGCACCCATGTTGTCACCAGCTTCACCACGGTCCAATTCCTTGCGGAACATTTCAATACCAGTCAAAATGGTCTTCTGGGTGGGTCCCATACCGACAATTTCGACTTCAGCACCCTTGGTGATGACACCACGCTCAACACGACCAGTGGCAACAGTACCACGTCCAGAGATGGAGAAGACATCTGCAAGTAATAAAATGAATAAGAACAAATGTAACAGCACAGATTTGACGAAGGAAAATATAGGCCATACCTTCAATGGGCATCAAGAAAGGCTTGTCGAGGTCACGGATAGGGGTAGGGATGTGACTGTCGACGGCTTCCATAAGCTCGTCGATGGCCTTCTCACCGATTTCGGGATCACGGCCTTCAAGGGCAGCAAGGGCGGAACCCTTGACGATGGGAGTGTTCTCACCGTCGAAACCGTATTCACTCAAAAGATCACGCATTTCCATCTCGACAAGCTCCAACATTTCAGGGTCATCGATAGCATCGACCTTGTTGATGAAGACAACAAGCTTCTGGATACCAACTTGACGGGCGAGCAACAAATGCTCACGGGTTTGAGGCATTTGACCATCAGTGGCAGAAACGACAATGATAGCACCATCCATTTGAGCAGCACCAGTAATCATGTTCTTGATGTAATCAGCGTGACCGGGACAGTCAACGTGGGCGTAATGGCGAGCATCAGTTTCGTATTCGACGTGAGCAGTGGAGATGGTAATACCACGAGCCTTCTCCTCAGGAGCCTTATCGATTTGGCTGTAGTCCATGAATTGAGCACCACCGCGGGTGGCCAAAGTCTTGGTGATAGCAGCAGTCAAAGTGGTCTTTCCGTGATCGACGTGACCAATGGTGCCAATGTTGACGTGGGGCTTACCACGAGAGAACTTGCCAGTCTCGGTAGCCATATGACGGCGACCTTATAGCAAATGAATGATATTAGCATTATTGAACATGTGGAATAGTATATGTCAATAAAATCGCCCTCATACCGAAGTACATGTAGCGGGAAGGTGCTGCTGACACGTAGGCGCTCTTGAGCATGCTAGCGGTCTATATAAATGACTTTTTGTAAATAAAGACACATCAAAATACATTCAAGCCTTGCGTATTAAAATAATCATACCATCTTGTTACCAGCAGAAAGGGCTTGGCGAGTAGAAACGAAAACTACAGGGATACAAGTTGCGAATGAGTTTGATGGATTAGAGGTTTAGCGTGAAATTTGTTAAGTTTGAATGTATTTACCGCTTCTAGAAGCAACGTTGGAGGCAGAGCGGCGAGAAGCGACTCGTACAGCAGGCATAACAGCCTTGCCAGCAGCAGTCTTGAGAGCGAACATGATATATTAGACTAGATTCAACAAGATTCTCAGTGTTTTGCATTTTTTGGCTGTCTTATCCAAAATTTTGTTTGACCAGGCAAGGATGTGTGACTGTCTTTCCGGAATAAACAGGCACCGGTGCTGGAGAACGAAGAAATAAATATGATGTTTTAATGGCTTTATGCCCATACATTCTCTACCTAAAGTGACCAACATCACTACATGCTAGCTATTGGAAATTACTAAGCCACGTTCAGAAGCTAAAGGTCATCAAATGCAAATTTGGCACTGCTTTAATGAGATGAAAAAAAAAAAAAGTACAAAGTATTATGAGATAGTAGAAAATGGTTATTAAGTTCAAGTGAAAATCACCATGGGGGTTACGGTTTCCTTGATATAAGATCCGACCATGTTTTCGTTTTTTAAATAGTCTTTGGGGAACATAACGAGATGTCCCTGGACTCTCTTCAATCTTTCTTGCACGGCCTGGCCAGTCATGTTGGCAGGATCTGCAATGTGCCCTATCGGTACCACTTTGGAGTCAGGAATAAACTTTCGGTGGTCTTCAAATGTAAGTACATTGTCATCAGGGACACATCGGAAGGTATCGCGATAAATTTCGGTATTGGACATGGCAGCACTTCTCCAGATATCCAAATAAAAGCTATCTGTCAGCGGGTCTAGCACAAGTTGATCTTCCGCGTCCAGTTTGCTATCATAGCGGAAGTTGTCGAACATGTTGAATGTCGATGACTGCCGAGTTAGTACTCCTGCCGCATCCGGTACGACTTTATCCTTGGTATTAGGCGTCAACAGCTCATCATCATAAAGGTCTGATTTTGGAACGTCTCCGCCATCGATGTCATGGTCTTTCAAGAGTCCCAAGTGTTCCTTGAACAATTGCATTCTTAAAGTGTGAGCGAAGCGGCTGGCTTTATACTGAGGAAACAGCATTATGTTAGCTTGGTGTACGATATTGGGAAAATTGGAGCACTCTGATCACGAATACATACATCTTTACCGTTCATCTTGGATGGTACTGTATCAGTATCTTCAATCAGCATTGCAATTTCTGAATCACGGTTGCCAAGTTGCGATCTGATATACGAGAAAATGCATGGTTAGCTTTTATGATCACAGTTGTATGATAACAGGACTTCTTTATGTATGTCCATACCTATCGTTGAGGTTGGCTATGAAATAGAAGAAAAACGAACTTAAACATGCTGTGCATTACCAAATTTTCACATCTTCGGGTATCTTACCTGAGCCAATGATGACAATTCTATCATCAACAATCATTAATTTCGTATGAATGTAAAGTTGCTCTGACACATACTCCAAGCGGTCATCGGCCAGCTCTGTTGACTCTTTAGTACTATCAGGGACGCTACTGATCTCGTTAGCAGTATCCCCCTGGGTGGTAGTAGGTGCAGCAGGTGACAGTACTGAATCAATAGAGGGTCGAATTTCACTACTATTCCCTCTAGCATGGCCGTTTCCAACACTGTCTCTATTAGTAGATTCTTTCGTCAGCTCCGCCATAGACCCATCATCATCAGAGTGACCTTCCCAATCTGATTGATCATGGTGATCATTGACAGTATTGTTCATAGTTGGAGCATTCTTGCTGATAATATAATGTTGGGGCGAAGACAATGGTGCGTCAGCTTTAGGAGAGGTTTGAGAAGCAGGTGGGGTGGCAATAGGTGACTTGGCCGCTGCTGGATTTGGCTTAAGCTTGTCCCAATTTCGCAGACTGTACCATTGAATGTATTGGTCAGGCTCAATACCTGCAGCTTTGAGCTTCTCAATGATAGAGCTCTCTCCACGGGAAATGGAAGCATACTGGAAGTGCATAACAAGTCGAACAGTACCGGCATCACTGGATGCAAAATCACCTTCGAAAGCTGGCGCAAGTGGCATAACCACGATGATGCGGAACTTTTCACCTTTCTTATGGGCAAGCTTGATACGCTCAACAATCGCTTGGCCAATCTTGTTTTTGATGATCTTGTCTTCAGGGGTTGTCGCAGTAACTGTAGATGGTTAAAGTTATTTGGATGTTTTTAGATTGGTAATAGAGCTGTCAAACAGTATAGAAAGTTCAACGTACTGAAGAATTGATTTTCAATATACACAAAATACTTTGCTTTTGTAATGCATTCGACGTAAGCATTATAGATGGAATGCTGTTCGTTTCCGTCAGTATAATTCGATGTTTCTTCATCACATCACGAAGTCAGGATGCTTACCTCGCGTTCAATGCCTTGGCTCCATTCAGCGCTGCTGCGTAACAACTGAACACGACATGACCCTTCGAATTTGCTTTCATCTCTCTTTGCAACATATTCACCTTTCGGGGTCAAGAAAGGAACTGTTGTACGGTGAGCACCTTTGCTAGCTTTGATAAAATTCCATCTTTGAACGAAATGTCTTGCTATGTCACGGGCAATGGGTCCAACCTAGCATATCAAAGCGCAATCAATATCGGAAAGGCAGGTGTCAGATCCGGATCTGATAACTTACAACACCGATGGAGACATCGTGCCACGGCATTCTAGGTGTTGTATTCTTGTCAACAAGAGGGGTTGCATACTGTGTAACTGTTTTGCAGCAGATGAATCAAAATGGGTTAAATTATGTTTGTTTGGCGAGTAAAGTGGTCCATGATCTGTTTACCATTTATGAAATCTTTCACACGTGGATTGGAATAATCTTGACCGGGGAAGGTCTCTTTGTCATGTCCCACTGCTGGATGATCTACAAGACGATGCTGATGGGTATCCCAACGACTTTTTTTTTTTCCAAATATATCAGTATAAATAGACGGTTTTTGAAAGCATTGACCAATACTAACCCGAAGCAAATGTCCAGACCACCGATAAAAGCAATACGATTGTCGACGACCACCATTTTCTGACAAAAAATAGTGTTAGGCGACTAAAAAAAAAAGCATTAGCTTGCCAATTTTACGTTTCTTTTACCTCATGGTGAGCCCAGAATAGTACACCGCCACCACCAGCACCGTGATCAGGATGTCTTTGAACTAGATTGGTTGTCAGCGATTGTCAATCTTTGGAGTGAATATTGGTGCATAAAATCAGTCTCCGAAAATATACCTATAATATTTGGGTGCAGGTTTTGTAGCCAAATCTTTGTATGCTCAGAGTTGATAGTCAAGGCGAGAGACATTTCTTTGTATACTACGATATATATCATGACACCTTCTCGTGCTTTTTTCAAAAGCAATCTGTCAATTCTGAACTCCTCATTTTCCTCGGGGGGACGGCGCAGGTACTTTAGAAAAACATAGAGTTATTATCGTCTAGTGTCCTACTAACAAATTATTGTTCGTTTCACTTACAAGTTCTGGTGATAACCACCAATCCTCTATGTAAATTTCTTTCTTCGCTGCTAAAAGAGCTTCCGCCACAGCATCAAAGTAATCTAAACAGCAAAAACATAATGTCAATACAGACACAATAACATTTGCATGAAACTTATTATATTCTTACCTTGGCCATCAACAAACCATTTGACTCGAGCTTTGTTGCGAATGGGAGCAAACGATCCAAAGCGATGATTTTGAACCCATGGGCTTTCCTTATGCACCTTACTGATCTGGTGCATCCAATCTTCTACAGAACGCTTGCTCGTGGCTTTGATTTCCACCTTTCTGAAGCCATTCATCAGTCTGATATGATGATGATGGTATTTCCCAAGCAATGATCCGCCTCCTGAAATGACAGTGAAGCTTTTGTCCAATAAAAGAACATCAGATGGCGTGGTGGAATCGAGATTTTGCAAAAATGCAATATATCTGAATAATTGTGGAGATGTTCATTGCATTTGAATTGCGTTCTAAACATGCGAAAACAAAAACCATCACTGACAACTTACGAGTCTCGCAGGATAACCCATTCATCGGTCCATGTGTTAATACGAATGGCTTGACAGAGAGTGGGTTTTACGAAGTGAATCTTGTTTTCCAGATAACCTTCTTTACCCTTCCAGCCCATATCTGGAAGCATACTGATGGCGGATATCTCCAAAAATTCACAAAGTTGATAGTTGTCGATGGTAAGATGAGATCTAGCGACCAATTCTTTCAGATATTTGTCCAGAGCTTTTCTACGTCGTAGAGCAGCATTACGCCAATTTTCGTCCTTTTCTTCGTCATCGTCCTTTCCAATGTTTTGGACCCTAGTCTGAAAGGCATTGACCAAGTGCTTGAGCTGATTTGGGAATGAAGGAGGAGGAGGGGCACGGCTTGTCAAACGTTCCTTTAAACGCAATTTCAAATGAAGGTCCAAGAAGTCGTAAATTGTCCGTTTGATAACCCACTTCACTTCGCCATATGAAAGCTCAATACGAAAGACCCATTGACGATTGATGGCCGATGGATCAATCCATGAATCTGTCACTGCGATGCCAATGAGGTCAAAGAGAATAGGAGGAGGTCGTCGACCCTTTTCATCTCTGGCAAACCCTATGTAAGGGACAGCAAACGCTGGAGGATAAAATGGGACCAGTGGATATGAAGGTTGGGCAAGATGTTGTTCTTTGTTCTTCGCAGCTGAATTTAAGCCGCTTACGAGTTTGAGCTTATCGAATGTTTTTCCCCAATGAGCACGAGCACGGGTTTCTTTTTTTTTTTTCAGATTTCAAATTAGAAACGTTATAATATGAATAAATTATTATTAGAGAATGGAAAGAAGGGGGAATAGATAATGGATGGAGAGTAGGGGAGGAGTTTGGAAATTTAGAAATTTAGAAATCAGCTTACCTTCTGCGTGCTGACTGGAATGCCTCGCTGGTGATGGACTTTGTGTAGGCGTCATCGGCATACCGTCCTGATAAAGGTCACCACTTGATGCTCTCCGACTTAAAAACGCTGATAGAACATTTCTTTTGGATCGATTGCTGCGAGTGCTTAGCTGAGGTGTGCTAACTTGTGAATCGTTCATCATGGGTCTTCGTTCGTTTGGCCTGAAATGGACTGGTTCAGGCTCTTGCATTGGCACCTCGGTGTCTTCCTGGTCAAATGGACGCTCAAAGAAGTTGATTCTTTCCCCTTGTTCATTTGTTTCGCTATCTTGATTGGTTTCCTCCAACATCTCATTCTCTTGATAGCACTGCTCTGGTGTTGGCAAACTGTCGTCTTCCCCTATAGGAGCACTGTATGATTGGGATTGCATATCCCATAGAGATCGGTGTGGTCCTTCATCAGGCTTGTCGTTATTATCTTGTGGCCCTTGGAATGTGGACAAGCGATGTACGAGATTCTGCCATTTCGCTCGCGGCGTTCCGTCTAGCGCTACTTGCTGAGTATGGCGCCTTCGAGTAGCCGGGGAAGTAGGAGACGTAAGGTCACTAGGTGTGTGGTCGTTGAGACGCATATTTAATGGTTTTGGAGCACCAGGCCGATGGAAGCCCTGATGCTTGGAGTTGAAGTAGTCAGCGTCATCAGAAATGGGGTTTGACATGGCGACCTCAAAGCAAGCAGCAGATGCAAGAGAAAACACTCATGGAAAAAGAAACGGCTTCCAAAATTGCCTTTGAAAGGAAATTCGGGATTTTAAAAACCAGAACACCAAAATACTGAGTAGATTTTTTTGTTATCCTTGGGCAATAATATCATCTCGTTTTATGTTCAAAAAAATGGATTCTGGCCTTGGCTTATGCCAGAACTAGGTTGGAATTCATGAGCACTATTGCTACGAGCAAAATAATGATTGGGCTGGTTAAAGTCTGGTGAAGTAAAGGATCTAACTGGCATGCCTTGAGGCTGGTTCATAGCTGACATCTGAGGACCTGCTGTGACCTGCTGGTTGTAAGCAAAGCCATTGGGAGTCATAGGTTGACTGTTAAATGGGTTAACGCCACCGAATGAATTAGTGGGTGTGCTAGCAGATGTGGCCATCTGCGTAAAAGGATTGGATGTGAACGTCTGTTGCTGCATTGGCTGCTGATATTGGTTCATTGGAGATGGGTTAAATCCGGTCAGCTGTGGTTGTAATTGCGGCTGAGATTGATTTATGCCAAACGGGTATCCATTCTGACTTGACATTGAATTGTTTTGAACCATGTTCATCCCAGTATTCTGAGCCGCTATTAGAAGTGACGTAAATAAAGTTTTAGTATGGCGATCCATGATGTGTTTCATGTATGTCAACATTGCATACCTATGATGGATGAGCCAAATGGATTAGTTATAGTTTGAACCTGGGGCTGCTGCATTTGTAATTGTTGCATAGGCATTTGTTGTATAGGCATCTGCTGCTGTGCTGGCATCTGCTGTACCTGCACCTGGTATGGATTCATGTTGCCCTGAGCAATGTTGACATTATTTTCACTGACATCTATGAGTGACTGTGGTGCGTTGTTCTTGGGTGGAACAGGTGGGGTGACAGCGCCAGTCCTCGACTCTTTCGCCAAAATTTCAATAGCAACATCCAAATTTCCGCCAGTTCGTCGCAGTGCATCGCGGCACTTTGACTCGTCTTTGTATCCCAGGCCCCACAATTTCGACAGCATTTGTTGTTCGGTCATTTGATCCTTCCTCTGCATGGTAATTGGCTGTTGCCCTGGAAGTTTAGAGAGAATTTCAACAGCTGGTTCCAGTTTGCCGTTTGTTTGATGCAGCACACGTCTATTTTTCTCGTCGTCTCTGAAACCCATTTCGCGCAACGCTGCCAAACCTTGACTTATATCTGATTCCCGCTGCAGCTGAGGAACTGACGACGATCGTTGAGGAATGTTGGCACCTGGCCGGATTTTAGCGCTTGCAGCTGCTGCAGGTTGTGGGGGAGCATTCATAAAACTTTTCTTTTCCCACTTATTTCGAATATATCTTTCCATGCCACTAAGAGAAAAAGTCAGGTCAGGGAGGGTTGTTCCATACAAACGTCGAGGTTTTGCTTCCCAAATACTTACTGATCGTCATCCGCGAGTGGCAAAGGGTGCTTTTCCGGATGTGGATTGTATATTCTGTTCACAGCATCGTTGCCTCCGCTAGCTTTAATGCTCTAGATTAAAATCTGTCAGTTTTTTCTCGGTTTTGCTTCGTCTTTCATGGTCAACGCCAGCCGTACCTCAATTTGCTCCATTGTCCAAGAGTCCATAGTGACGGACTTGACCTTGGAAATATGGGTTCCCATTCTTCTATGGAGGCCACCACATCGTATACACAAAAATACACCGAGGTTATGTGATGCCCATCGAGGATCTAGGGAGATTTTTTGTTTTTTTTTTCAAACAACCGGTTAGTCGATAAACATAACTCCGTTGTGGCAATGTAGTAAAACATACTTTTTGCTCGGCAGTCGACACAAACGTTGTTTCCTGGCTGCTTGATCAGCTCGATTAATAAGCGTTCATGTCTGTCTTGTGTAGATTTAGTCTGGCGGGTGGACATTTTGGGTGATGGAGGATGATGACCAAAGTTTTGGTGGAGAAAACGGAGTTTGAAGCCTAGCTCTTCCTATTAAATTTGGTTTTTGTGTGTGTAAATCTCGTGATTGCTTGCTACTTGTACGTGCCCATTGAAACTCTCTGCTCTCTCACCCTTTCTTTCCCCACAATATGTCTCTCCCACTCGAAGGAATAAAGGTCATAGAGCTCTCTGGGCTTGCTCCTGCTCCATTCGCTGGAATGATATTGGCAGACTACGGCGCAACGGTTATTCGTGTAGATAGACCTGTCAATTTCAATCCGGATGTACTAGCTCGCCACAAACGATCTATTGCTTTGGATCTCAAACAGCCAAAGGCAATCGAAACCCTTAGACGTATTCTTAAAGAATCTGACGTATTGCTAGACCCATATCGACCTGGTGTCTTGGAAGCTTTAGGTCTCGGTCCGGACGTTTTGCTTAAGGACAATCCACGATTGATCATTGCACGTTTGAGCGGATATGGTCAAACTGGGGCATGGAGCAAAATTGCAGGCCACGATGTCAATTATTTAGCAGTATCGGGAGTTCTTTCGGTAGGTAGATTTGACCCCCAGCATTTCTTGAAGTCAGCCCAACGCAACATGAGATTTCCACTGACAGTCACCCATCTGACAGCTTATAGGCAGACATGGGGAAAATCCATTTTTCCCTGTTAATATTCTTGGAGACTTCGCAGGTGGTGGTTTAATGTGCGTCACTGGTATTCTCATGGCTGTCATTGAACGGAATCGGTCTGGCAAAGGTCAAATCATTGATGCAAATTTAGTGAGTGTCTCGTGTGTAGAGCCATACACTTTGGTACACATGGACTAACGTCTTTCTCTCTTCAAAGACTGATGGAGCAGGTTATCTCGCTTCCTTCCCATATTATATGCGGAAGAATGGTTTCTCCTGGACTGAAGAGCGGGGTAAAAATATGCTGGATGGTGGAGCCCCATTTTATGAGGTGTATAGAACAAAGGATAACAAATTCATGGCCGTGTAAGTACCATTCGGTTTCGGGCTGCGCACTACTTGGATGGCATAATGACTTTCATTTCTCTGCTATCAGAGGAGCCATTGAACCTCAGTTCTACAAGGCTTTCCTCAAAGGTCTCGGTTTAACTGAATCTTCCTTGCCTCCTCAAATGGACGCAGACCATTGGGAAGACACTAAGAAGAAGTTTACTACGTTGTTTGGCTCAAAGACTCAGTCGGAATGGACGCAAATATATCAAAATACCGATGCATGCGTGACACCTATTTTGGACTTTAACGTGGAAGACAACAACGAGAAAGGGTTTGCCGCTAATCCCAAGCCCGCTCCTTTATTGTCAAGAACTCCAGCAAAGGACTCTTCCAAGGAGTCTGGCATTCTGGAACCCGGTTTACATTCTGCTGCCGTTCTCAAGGAATTTGGTCTCACTAACCAAGAAATCCAAGAGCTCATCAAACGACGTGTCGTTAAGTCAAACGATATCAAATCTTCGCTTTAATTAAGATTGCAATCGCAAATAAATAGTATATCCTACACCGCTAAATCTCTATGTAAATGGTGCTTCATCTCGAACACATTTCTCATAAACCTGCTGAACTACTTTCTCTGCATTTGCTCCGCAGTGCTCCCTTGTTGAATTGATGGCATCTCTAAGAATACAGTCCTTCTTCTTCCCCTCATGCTTAATGTCGTTACATTGGCCTACATGAATATGCGTGTTAATGGACGTATCCGCTTTGATGTGCAACGTATCCAAATCCTTACCTATTGCGCTGGCTCTGACCTCTCCGCATGCTACCAAATGACATAGACTATCAAATGTACCTTTTCGACTGGCGTCGAAAGCGTGAACCAGTTCATGTACGACAGTCTTTTCAACATCCTCTCTAGACCGGATATTTTCACAGCAAAGTACGATCCTTTTATATTGTATATCGTAGTATCCGCATTTTTCCTATGGTGAATCGTCTTGGTATCTATGTTCTGACGGACCCAAACAGGACAATTTATTTTTAAAACCCTCACCTGTTGTTCAGTTCCAGCACATGAGCGGCACGTAATGCCTTTTACAAGAGTACGTTTGTTCAACTTAAATATGCTCTGAAGTAGCGTTTGGGCTTTAGAAGAATTGTTCAAAACATGCTGAAGTTCTTCAGTACAGCGTTGTTCCGAGAAACTGGATGCATGGTTTGTGGTCAAAATGGGCATGCAGAAACAGCTTGCAGAAACTTTGGGTCGGAGGAACCAAAGATTTTGTCACAAAAAGTATTGCGACAGGTGAAATAATAGCAGTCTTTTCGGGTCCTTTCTCTCCTAAACAAAATGACATTAGAACACCAACCACCCAAGATTACTTCCAATCTCGCGGATAATGTTGGCTTGACGCCCATGGTCAAAGTTATGGGCGGCCATTCCAACAATGGTATGTCTTGAATCACTTACTCGCCACCAACTTTGCTTCATTCTTTTTTTCTCACGTTTTAACTCGCGCTTTTGACCATATTCTTCTATAGTGGAAGTGCTTGCCAAGCTGGAATACACCAACTTTACCGGGAGTATCAAAGAACGAACTGCAAAGTTCATCATTGAAGGTTAGTCTGCTGCTCACAAGTAAATCTTACGAGATAGCATCAACTGATCCAGCATACATGCCTTAGACCTGAAAGCCAAAAACAAATTGAGCCCAAAGACTACCATTATCATTCCAACTTCTGGAAATCTCGCCATATCCGTCGCAGGAATGGTTGCAAAGGATCGCAACAAAGTCATCGCTGTCGTGCCTGAACGTACTTCGACTGACAAGATTCACTTGCTGAAGGCTATGGGAGTGGAAATCATTCGAGCTCCAACCGAAGCCAGGCGCGAGGCTGCTGAAAACATGTATTCTACTGCTTACAAGTTGTCTGAGCAACTTCAAAACTCCATTGTTATTGATGAGGTACAATTCAACATAGGCGCCATCAAAGTTCGTTCTCAAACTAATCCACTTTCCTTTAGACCAACATACCAAGCGCAGTGTATGATGACTTGGCAGAAGAGATCCTTCAGCAAAGCGTTCTCCAACTTGATTATGTCTTCGTTGGCGTAGAGACTGGTTCTACTATTTCTAGACTAGCCAAGGCATTGAAGGCGGAAAAGCCTGAAATCAAGGTCTACGGTGTTGAACCCGTGGATTCTGTCTTTGCTAGAAATGAAGGCAACCAACATTATAAGAGAAGGGTACGACAAGGCTTCGGTCTTACAATCGAGTAAATTTGTCATTGTTATTAGTTTACTAACTCTTGTATGAATTTACTATATAGGAATGGAAGATAGAAGATCTCGGCAGCAACTTTGTACCTAAAAATTTCGATGGAAGTTTGATCGACGGATGGATCCAAGTTTCTGACAAAGATGCATATTCAACCGCAAGACGCCTTCTACGTGAAGAAGGCATTACATGTGGTATGTTTCTATATATATATATTTTAACAAACCGACAATGAGAGATTGGAACGTTCGCTGATTCATAGCAATTTTATTCTAGGACCTTCCTCCGGAGCCGTTGTTTGGGCGACTTTGAATCATGCAAGCAACGTGCAGCAACATACAACTCACACCTTTCGCTCTGTAGCTATTTTGAATGACACAATGCGCAACTACATGTCCACTCTATTGTCAGATGAATGGCTACTGGAGAACGACCTTGTGGATGAGATGACAACTAAGCAGCTGGAATATCTCTCCAGCGAACGTTACCGCGCAGCCAGCGTTGAAGATCTGCAGTTGCCTGCAGCCGTCACCATCTCGCCATCTGCAACAGTATCCCATGCTTTGAATTTGATGATGGAGCGCGAATATTCACAGCTCCCAGTCATTCATTCAAGCAACAAGAAACTGGTTGGCTACATCTCTGAGTCTACTTTAGAAGCCCACTTGTCGGATGGATCCGCTCAGCCTGAAGATCCGGTCAGCAAGTGGATGTTTAACTTCCTCAAGCGCAACAAAGGCGAGAAGTCGACTGCCAAATATGAAATGATCACCCCAGATACAAGCTTGGCAGATCTCGGTAAGTACTCTCTTGATAGAAACAGATACCCTTCCATGTAAGCCTTATTTAAAATGAAAACTAACCAATGTTTCTATAGCCAAATTTTTCGAAAAGAACTCCTTTGCCGTTGTTACGGATGCTGACCGCAAATGGTGCTTGGGAGTAGCAACCAAATATGATCTGATTAGCTTCTTGAACAGAAGAAATGTGTTTTAAGATGTAATTGTATATAAGTAGGTCATAGAGGGCTATTATAGATCTCTAGTAGTATGACACATTTTCCTTGTGCCAAAACAATAAAAGACAGAATTACTACACCAAAATGCTAAAAGTCTATATACACGAAAATCACATAAATGTACGCTTTTTACTGTCGGCTCCGCTCACCGGAGCCATAGAATTTGCGTATGGATCCTTTATATTCATATGGAAGGAGTGGAGGAGTACGCACATCTATTGCATTTTCGCCTGCATTCGTAGGTACCCAGACACGAAGCTCAGCTCTGTCAAAATCTCCGGTTACAGATACCCATCCCATACTAGAAAATGCGATATCAGCTGTGGCGTGGGATGGATGATCGCCATGGAGTTTGATAGTATGCGGAAGTGGCTTGAGAGAGATGCTTCGGCCAATAGCGTTTGTTTCATCGGTAAGTTTTTCAGTTTTGACGAAATGTGGTATCATCTTGGTAAACAAGGTTATAAGAATAGGCTGCGTGGATTTGACCAAGTCAAGTCGAATGAAGGGTTTGAGCAACAAACTTTTACCTATACAATCAGTATGGTTAATAAGTTGAACCTTTCTCACAACCAAGAATTCACATCCCCGTCACATCATGAAAGTATCGAAATTACATACCGACTTCCAAACGGTAAGTCACTGGCTTTAGCTCTTTGCTCGCCTCCCATTTTCGAACTTCGTTTGGAGCTAGCAAATGTACTAACTGGTCTTCGTTGATGATACCCGGAGTATCTATTATATATCGTTCTTTGGTAACGAAACGCTTACTCGCTTCGTCGTTGTTTAACGGATCGCGAATGCCAACAACACGAAGCGGTATTTTGATACTCCCAATGGTAGTGCCTGGTACATGAGAACTTGTGACCTGGTATTCACGACGTACTCTTGCAGTGTGCTGTTTGGCGTAATCTGACACATCCTCTTTCTTTGCTGCACCTTGCTTCAAAAAGGCGTTGACAACGGCGGACTTACCAACATTGGTGCATCCTAAAACGTAAACATCGTCTGTAGCATTTCGGTACGACTCTATGGATCGTAGCAACGATTTAATGCCCCATCCCTTTATAGCACTGACCAAGGCTACATCTAGTATGGATGCAGTGTTGAGGCCACTCCTCTTGGCTTGTTGAACGATCCAGTCCTTGATTCTCTGCTGATGCTTTAAAGCATCCTTTGGCAAGATATCGATTTTGTTGGCTACAAGCAGGACACGATGCGTTGGGTTACTGTTGAGTTCGGCAATCAGCGGCTCAATGCTAAATGGAATGTCTCCAATATCAATGATGGATACTATCAGAGCATTATTTTTGGTCTTCAAAAAGGATAGGGATGTGTATTGCAAAGATGAGCGCAGAAATTTTTGTGTGTCTGACGTCGTACTGGTTTTATGGTGTATCAACGAATGGCATCGTGAACATAGCTGTCGAGAGGTGGTCTTTGGAACATCATCTTTTGTTTCGTTCGCTTCTTCTTTGATTCCCAGTAGCTCTTTCAATTCAGGGTCCAAGGTGTCGAGATGCTGTTCGTAGTCCTTGTCTGATAATATACTGGGGCCTGAAGGCTTTGAAGGCTGACTTTTTCGCTCGGACTTGCGTTCGATGTAGCCAGACCCATTAGGATCCGCTTCTTGCAGTGTGGCACCGCAGCCCGAACAAGACTCTGACACAACAGGAGTATTGTCCGACTGGGTACTTAGTAACCGCCGTGATAAGACAGAAGCTGGCTTTAGAGTGCATGTCGACAAGTGGTTAACAATGGTAGGCCGTAATCTTGACAACGAAATGAGGGGATATAGTCTAGGTATGACTCTCGTCAAGCGTGTAGCCGTTACCCTTGCAGCCATGGAAGTTCGAAGTTGGGGAAATGCGCACTGAATTCCTTCAGTTTCTTCTCGTGTCCTTCCGTTCTTCAAAAAATTGTGACGGCCACTGTGACTGCTAGCAGAAACGGGCATGAAAAAATATCCTGCTATTTGACACTATCTTGCGCTTACCTGTTACCCATGGACGACCATACCATTCTTGCGTCGACAACGCCACCTAATACAGAAGCTTCTACAGTTTCAGAAAGCGTCGTGATTCAACAACATGATACCGTTATCAACAATAGTGTGAAAAAAGATATATGTAGTGTCAACCCTCTTATACCTTCGGGCCTCACACCTATGGTCTCTCAGTCGCAAGTCCAGACAGCCAACGATCCAGTATCACAAGAGGACAAAGGCAATGAAAATTCCATGGAAGTAGAACAAGTGACAATAGATACAGTTGTTGAAAACAATGAAGGATCCACCGTCATACATCAAGAGGAAACAATCGTACAAGCAGATATCCAGCAAGTTTCAACAACGGAAGTAACGACGGATATAACGATGAAGGATATCCCCAATTCCGAAACCAATGCTATGCCTGAGTTGATAGAGACAGCAGATAACAAAATCGATGCCGCCATATTAGGAGACGCCAAAATTGATGCCGCAGATGGGTACGTGTCGAGCGATCTTGATTCATCTGACGACGAGGACAATGCGCCTTCTGCAAAGAAAGACAATTCCGAAGATAACGATAGTGAATCGGACAGGTAAGCAATACTTTTGAAATACGTATGGCAAGATGACATAAAAGCTTACTTTTTCAAAAATAGCGACGACGATAGTGATTCGGAGGAGGATATTGGCTTACCAACCAAGACAATGACGATCGAGGAACGAGAAAAAGCATTGATAGACATATCCTATATGGACGAAGAGGATGATGCAAGGGGAGAGGATGGACCTTTAAGAACACGTAACGAATTGCAAAAAGTGGTTGTACAGCGACCAACCATTACCATCAAACCAGAAGCCAACATCGTTGAGATTGGATCCGTGTACGCTGTGGTGGGGGATACCGTTGTTGTTCAAGGACAAGTGGCTGGTAATGAGCAAGTTCTGGATAGCGGCAGTCTCTTCGTATATGAAGACAGAGAAATATTAGGCGAGGTATGCTCCATTGTTTTTTGTGAATGGTAATAATATCAATTTCTGAAGCTTACATCGATTATTTCAAGGTCTTTGAAACGTTTGGGCCAGTAGCCAGACCGCTCTACTCGGTTCGGTTCAACGATGCATCGGAAATTGACAAGGAACGCACTAAACAAGGTGCAAAGGTGTACATTGTTCCTGATTTCTCTACGTTTTTGTTGACTAGAGCGTTGAAGATGCAAAAGGGATCAGATGCAAGTAACATTTTTGACGAAGAAGTTGCTGACCATGTAAGTTAATACCATGAGTAACCAGACAATGAGGCGGTTCCGGATTCTGACCTATGTTTATGCAACAGGAAATGGAGTTCTCAGATGATGAAGCTGAACAAGCATTCAAGAAAGAGCAAAAGCGCAAGGGAAAGTAAGTTGGGCACCTATTGTGATTAAAAAATCACAGGAAAACCGCTGTTCTTTCGTTTTCTAATCACAGGTGTCATTACAGGAAGAAGCAAGCAAATAAACGTGCAGCACCACAAGAACAGCAACCGGTAGCTGAATCAACTTGGGATGACCTTGATGGATACAATGTATTGAAAAGACCAGCAATTGGTCGAAATGCCCCTGAACAAAGACGGCCACACCCTCTACCCCCTCGACCGGCGTTCAGTATGACACCTGCAACGCAAGAACCCCAAGCCGCACCGCCTCGTGAGGTTCATAGCATATCACAGTTATTTGCTGCCGGTCCTCCACCGCTTCATCCTCCACCGCGTGGCCAATAGTATCATTGCTTGTCCATCCTTCTTAGAAGTAACGTCAGACGTTAATCAATCCCATCATGAGAGTTAGACTTCAAAAGAACGATAATTCCTTTTAATACAGTTAGGGGACGGACAATGTTTATGGAATACTAAATCTAAACGGGCAAATAATAAAGGTGTATATAGTAGTTGAAGAAAATGTCTATATTTTCAAAAGCCAGTGTCTCGTCTTATGTAAGTGAAAGCCGAGATGCGGATTTCCAGCAGGCGACCTTACAACACGCCAGCAAACTTTGCAAAGCTATCCTTTTTGCTAACCTTTACACCGGTTCCGTCCCGTTGTAGTTCATAGAGCTCTCCACGCCAGACGATTTTGTCGCCGACCATGGCATATACATACAATGGAAGAGCGAGAATCTCACGGCTAAACCATGCTCGAACAAAATGAAGCAAGGGCTGAGGCTTCAATTGAGCGCTGCCAAGGAAGGTATGGTAAAGTGTGTAGTCGCACAGGAACCAACAGAGCCAGTGAATTAAAAAGAAAAGGCCAAAGGAAACACCGAATCTTGAGCTGTACCCAAAGGCACCCATAAGACCACAGATGATAGACTCGGTAATGGGTTCAACCAAAGTGGCAGCTGTCACAATGTATTTGCGAACACGCACCCATCGAGACCGTCTTAAGCAATAATCCTTCGGTGACAATGAACCCAAACTTTGGTTGGCAGTATCACAGGTCATGACATGCTTCAGTCCCTGAGCCCAAAGCGCTTCGGCAATGATATTATCTTCTGCCATATACTGAGCAAATTGTCGCAAACCACCAGCCTTTTCCAGATCTGACTTCCGCCAAAGATTGGATTTACCCATGATACAGGAGGCCACAGCCACAAAGTTGATAGCAATATACATCTTTGCATGGTTTGTGTCCAAAAAGACCTGTTCAACTTCTGCGCCATAACTGCTTGGGTTGGTGGCTAATGGAAGATGGTGTACCAGACCGACCTTTGGCTTCAAAATAGCATCGACCGACCGAGCCAAAGCGTCAGCATGAACTTGAACATTGGAGTCAAGAATCCAGAGAATATCATGTTGTGCAGAATCGTATGACTTGATGAGGTTATTAATTTTCGGATTTATTCCGGCCGCGACATCGCCTGAAACATACACCAACGTTAGTATACGCGTGCCTAGTCCAAGGTGTCTTTCAACCCAAGCCTTACCAATGATTAATCTCGTTTCTATTTCCGGGTGTTCCTCCATCAGTTCCTTAACAACAGGGATAGCAGGGTCATCTTCCTTTGCGACCGAGAAGATAATTTCATAGGCTGGATAGTTTTGACAAAAGGAGGAGAGCAAGTTTTCTCGCAAATTGATATCCAATCCTTTGAGAGGTCTAAGAATTGAAACACTCGGCGGTGTAAGCATACTGGGAGACTTGGGAGTATCTTTCTTCGTATATCGACATCGTCTAAATGGAGCGATGTCAGCGGATGGTATGATACTAGATGGTCAGGTATGTATTAATCAGCGCGGCAGGCAACTTACGACACAGTCAAGCCGAGCAGTGATAATAAAGCCATGAAAGTGTACCATAGCACACAAAGCCATGAGAAGTAGTAGATTATAGTATCAAGTACTGCCATTATGAGTTAAAGAAGTAGATCCGGTCCAGTTGCATTGCCGAGCAAGGAAAAAGTCTTTACCCAGTGCACGGTTCTGGTTACAAAAAAAAAAAAAAAAATTGTTCGATAAACGACAGGGTCGATTTGACCACCAGTCCCTGACAAGTATTATATCATCTTGGTAGGGTGGCATGATACCAAGTTGTTATTGCTAAAGGGGTTTTCGTTTTATATATTGTTGTTATGATGTTTATGGAATTTTAAAAAACGAGAAAGTAATAAAGTTACAAAGAAGAGAGGTGGAGAGAAGGTGGCAAGTTTTTATGAGAATTGGGTTGGGGGTAGAAGGAGAAAAAGTTACAATGAGGATAGAGAGTCAATCTCTATTTATTCTGCCTTGACATCTTGCTTTGCAGGAGCATCTGATGCATCTGAGGTTCGAGACTCTTTTTCGATCAAAATTGATCGAAGCCATTTAATCTCCAGCTCGAGTTCCTTAACTCGACCTTCCAATCGATCAGCCTTATCAGTCATTTCCTTGGCAGTTTGTTCCAAAGCTTGCTCACGCTGCTTCTTCTTGACACGGAAACGTGCTGATGCAGCGGTATTACGGCGTCGCTTGTCTTCTTCGCTAGCAGACTTGGAGTCTAGATTAGGATCAGTTGCGATGTCTTTTTCCACAACTTTACCAGTGTCCGTGGCCTTTCTTTTCAAGCTCACTGAAGGTTTATCTTCAGGTGATGATGGCTTTGGATAAATCATGGGCACGCCGAAGTTGGCAGAAAAGTTGGTGGAATTGAAGGAAGTTGAAGCATCAGCAGGTGATGGTCGTGGTGCAAGGATAGGCATAGCAGGCTTGGCAGTGCTGAGTGGCCGAGGTTGCAACATGGGTTGTATAGGGGCGGGTTGAGCCAAACGCTGTTGTGGAAGTTCATAGTCAAGGTAATTGGCAAGACCTTGGTAGGTGACAGGGTCTAGATTGGCTTTGGATTGGGCGGGTAAATCTGTCAAGGACTTTGACTCTAGTGATTGTTCATACTCCAAAGGCTTGTCGTCATAAATGCCAACACCTGGCTCTACATCAAAAGTGAATTGTGCAGTGGACTATATTGAAAATGAAATTAGTTGATGGGTGTCTAGGCGTAGTTGAGCAATATTTGCACATACCCAAAGAGCTAACTCGTCAGCGAGTTCCTGCTCAGTAGGACCGGATAACTCTGGTGAGTTATCGTTGGTGAGAGTGTTGAGTGATGAAATATAAGAATATTGGTCGTAAGACATGGTCAACGGATGGCTAATTCAATGTGAGATGCAGAAGAAACGGCGACGTAAACGTCAGTGTGAAAACAGTAGAAAAAACTTTGCTAACGTATTTTTAACTCAGCTCTTCCGGGCAACCAGTTTTCTACAGTTTTCTTAATTGGGCGAATATGAGTAAGCTATCCACGTACGCCTCAGTCCACGTTCCCTTCATTCCAGCTTCGTTTATTTCCTTCCTTCTGCTCAACTTACCATAGCGTAGTTTTTGGCAACCCCGGATCGTAGCTAGCTGACTCCAATTCTTCCATCACGTGCTGATAATCGTATCTATCATGGTTTCAGTTCAGTAAGCTGGCTGGCAAAGTATACCTCCCGTCCCCACAACGGATGCAGTGAGTGACCAGTGAAGCTCTCCCACACGGAATCCTGCATGTATAAAAAAATTCACTTTTACAGCATGTACCACCATCAGCCTTTGTTTGCGTTATGATCACCTGCCTTTCATTATCTTATCAGTTGGTGCCCAAGCAGCTGAACATACTCTACGTCGCCGATCTGATCTGTAGAATGGCCTTGCAATCCTTCCATTCGTTATGCTGCACTCTTGAATAGTCTTCCAAAAACTGCTAGTAATCGGGATATTTCGGTTACATGTGGTGGTATATTTGCTCTCTTTTATTCGCCGAATGAAAACAGTGACCCCGCGCTTCGATATGATAGTAGAGCCAGAACCGAAGTTATGATATACTACACGTATTCTGTACAAACCATGAGTCATACATGCTTTACATTTTGTATATTTTTCTATAAGTGTTTCTTTGATCCCCATGAATTTATGTGTATTGGTTTGGGTAACTGCCTCGAAAACGTAGATTAGTAATCCAGGCCCTCAGCTACTCCTTCTGTTTGAACTCCCCAACCTGAAGTCAGTCGATGTTCCACTACCGCAGGTCGGCAAAGAAATAGACTTCTGAGAAGTAGTGCTAAGCTCAAATAAACTACAAAAAGTATAGCGAATGATGCAAACGTAATTTAGAGTAGAGTGGTGCAATATGCCCACGGAAATGCCCGGCGGCTTGTGCGCATTTTATGGTATATGAGAGACTGCATGTACCGGTGGGGACAAGTACTATGGCTGATACACTGATCCAGAGCGCACTTCACAGTATAGTATCAAGATAGTTGAGATCAGAGGTTCAATAAAAGCTTAACAGCTATCCATTATCATCAGTTAAGAAAGATCACGGGGGAGGGTGACTACCGAAAGAGTTTAATCAACATAGGGTCGAGAATATCAAGTTGAGACAGCAGATGATATAACAGCACTTGTGATATGAGAAAGATTGGCTATATTTGACTGGCCGGCTTACCATAAGCTACATAGTGAACAGCTATAACATAGCTTTTATTCGAATCAAATGAGAGAGGTACATATGAAGACTTGGCGACTCAGCATCCTGTGTTGCCCAGCAGTATATTGACAGTAAGCATTGAGTTGTAGTCAAGTGCTCTTTTGAGTGGACGGCATCCAGACCTGTGAATTGAGCTGCACCGTCATCCACATATTTTGAAAGAAAATACTGATCATACTAGCACATACAGAAAGCCACCCCAGCATTTTCCCCGAGCTGGTCGTCGCCTGGTATAAAAATTAGGAACGGGCGGATGGGGGGAATTAAAATTGATGTTGAGGCGAGCAGTTGTAAAACTGGTAGATATTTCTTTATACACTATCCTGAGAAAGAGATGAAGCTTTCTTAGGTTTACTTATCACTCGCGAACGTCGTCAGTCGGACATTTATTTTAGTTTTGTCAAACACACCAACGAATATTCATCACCATGGGTTCAAGCGTGTCTAGGATTGATGATAACATGATGTCTGTTCTTAGACAAAATTACACCCAGAAGCAATCCGCCTATCGATTGGTAAAACGAAGAAAACAGAAACTCTCAAAGAGCATGATCGGACAACCCAGTAATTTCCAGGTATGCCAAGCAATATGCATGAAAACTTGTGACCTACATGCACTAACAAAATCAACGATATACAGCACACACATCATATAGGATCAGGGGACTACCAAACCAATGTAAGAACGTGACGACAACAATTAATGCGAAGAAATGAGCTAACGCTGATACTGCTGACGTTATATAGCATATAGGTGTTCAAGAACACATTGCGGAGATCACCGTTATATTCAATGCCACCAACAAGTCGACGGGTATCAGCAGGAAGCCAGTGAAAGAGAAGTTAGTAGATCTCTGTTACGTATCAAATTCAAACATCAGCACACCTAGAAGGGTCAATCGTAGAGTTTTACTTAGACAGGAGCCTTTCAAGGCAGATATGTCAGTAAGTGATCTTAATTTCAAGTGTACCAACATATTTCACCGCTGTAACTAAGCTTGGATGATTGATTAGCAGCAGCTAGTTGTAGAATCAAACTACTTCTCCAAATCGACCAGCTCAGCAGTAAGATTTAACAGGCTTTGCATATGATTTACGATGCAGTCGACTGACCATTTTGTAGATAATGTCTAGTCGGAGAGATGTACCAGAACACAAGAGATATACATCTTTGGATATGCAAAAGTCATCATTCAATTCCCTTAATGACCATCATAAACAGCAACTTGAAATGCTGAAGGTGGATTTAGAAAAGCTATCGAGAAGCGAGCACAACTTGCGAAAATATGCCGCCTGCAACCATACGTTGCAAATTGCACCCAGTCGCGAATCATTTGTATGCTAAGAAGCTCACTAACCAACTGATTATGACCATATATATATATATCTATGTGCGTGATATCAAATGAACAGATCGAAAGCTCTATATAGAGTATGTTATGTACACTGTATCATGTACCTTCCAAATCGCTTCCCATATCAGATTAGTTCGTAGTAACGACCGAGATATTATGTCATTACTATCGATAGGGTGTCTTCATGATCTTTGTTATACCGGGTAAAAGTAGCTCTTTATAAATTCGTTATATACTTTGCAATATGTGGCTCTTTTGAATGACGATTAGCTGTGCTACGAATTGATCTGCACGGTGCAAGGTATTTCAAAATGGAAGTTTTGACAGATCGGAAATTCAGCAATTGGCTGAGATTTTTTTTTTTTTTTTAGTGTTAGTGCTTTGAAATCTAACACTGATTGCCATTCCCTAAATTACAATGCCTTTACCAACTTTAGCATTAAGAGCAATTCACCGGGCATCTCAAGCGAAACCTGCCTCTAAGCGTTTTTTCGAGGCAGATGGCTTGTCTTTGGAGCATGTATGTAATTCTGGAAACTCAAATGTACCTGTGAATTCCACTAATCTCGTCCATGTACAGTTCTTAGCTAGACGCAGAGCCATAGCACTCTACAGGGAAATAATACGCTCTCTCAAAGGTATGATAATAAACAAATGGAAATTAGACAGCAAAAATGTTCATTATCTGACACATCAATTAGGGCTGAATAAAACGGACGCTCATGAAATACGACAATGGGCTCGGTCCGATTTCGAGCGCTACAGGGGCGAGAAAGATCTGGTATGGCAGTATATGTTTTCTATTGCCAAATGTTTCCACAAACTAAATTATTTTCAATCAATAGGAAAAAATCAAGTCGCTTATAACATCCGGAAAGCATCAAATGCACAGCGTACAACAATCTTTAATGCTTGCTCAAGCGAAATGAGCCTAGTCATCTTGTAATTTACTTCATTGTACGATATTGTATTTGTTTTTCAATCAAGCCAGTAGAAAAAGCTAAACTTCCTTTCTCAATCAACTCAATTCAATCATCATATCATACATACTCTAACGATAAACCCACTAGAATTTGCAAATCGGTAGCGGTCAGACAATTTTTATGGGATTCGTTTCTGGAAAGCCCAAA